AGACACTACATAGACACTAATACATAGACATTACTACACACTACATCTCACAACCTCGTCTGAGTGAGTACTACTTAGACAACTCTTACATAGACACTGTTACATAGACACTGTTACATAGACACTACATAGATACTACTACATAGACACTACTACACACTACATCTCACAACCTCGTCTGAGTGAGTGTTACTTAGACAACTCTTACATAGACACTGTTACATAGACACTACAAACTACATAGATACTACTACATAGACACTACTACACACTACATCTCACAACCTCGTCTGAGTGAGTGTTACTTAGACAACTCATACATAGACACTGTTACATAGACACTGTTACATAGACACTACTACACACTACATCTCACAACCTCGTCTGAGTGAGTGTTACTTAGACAACTCTTACATAGACACTGTTACATAGACACTACACACTACATAGATACTACTACATAGACACTACTACACACTACATCTCGCAACCTCGTCTGAGTGAGTACTACTTAGACAACTCATACATAGACACTGTTACATAGACACTACACACTACATACATACTACTACATAGACACTACTACACACTACATCTCACAACCTCGTCTGAGTGAGTGTTACTTAGACAACTCTTACATAGACACTGTTACATAGACACTACAAACTACATAGATACTACTACATAGACACTACTACACACTACATCTCGCAACCTCGTCTGAGTGAGTACTACTTAGACAACTCTTACATAGACACTGTTACATAGACACTGTTACATAGACACTGTTACATAGACACTAATACATAGACACTACACACTACATCTCACAACCTCGTCTGAGTGAGTACTACTTAGACAAGTCATACATAGACACTGTTACATAGACACTACATAGATACTACTACATAGACACTACTACACACTACATCTCGCAACCTCGTCTGAGTGAGTACTACTTAGACAACTCATACATAGACACTGTTACATAGACACTGTTACATAGACACTACTACACACTACATCTCACAACCTCGTCTGAGTGAGTGTTACTTAGACAACTCTTACATAGACACTGTTACATAGACACTACAAACTACATAGATACTACTACATAGACACTACTACACACTACATCTCGCAACCTCGTCTGAGTGAGTACTACTTAGACAACTCTTACATAGACACTACTACATAGACACTACTACATAGACACTACTACACACTACATCTCGCAACCTCGTCTGAGTGAGTACTACTTAGACAACTCTTACATAGACACTACTACATAGACACTGTTACATAGACACTACTACATAGACACTAATACATAGACACTACACACTACATCTCGCAACCTCGTCTGAGTGAGTGTTACTTAGACAACTCATACATAGACACTACTACACACTACATCTCGCAACCTCGTCTGAGTGAGTGTTACTTAGACAACTCTTACATAGACACTGTTACATAGACACTACTACACACTACATCTCGCAACCTCGTCTGAGTGAGTGTTACTTAGACAACTCATGCATAGACACTGTTACATAGACACCACACACTACATCTCGCAACCTCGTCTGAGTGAGCGTTACTTAGACAACTCATACATAGACACTGTTACATAGACACTACACACTACATCTCGCAACCTCGTCTGAGTGAGTGTTACTTAGACAACTCATACATAGACACTGTTACATAGACACTGTTACATAGACACTACTACACACTACATCTCGCAAACCTCGTCTGAGTGAGTGTTACTTAGACAACTCATACATAGACACTGTTACATAGACACTGTTACATAGACACTACTACACACTACATCTCGCAATCTCGTCTGAGTGAGTGTTACTTAGACAACTCATACATAGACACTACACACTACATACTTAGACAACTCATACATAGACACTACTACATAGACACTAATACATAGACACTACACACTACATCTCGCAACCTCGTCTGAGTGAGTGTTACTTAGACAACTCATACATAGACACTGTTACATAGACACTGTTACATAGACACTACATAGACACTACTACATAGACACTACACACTACATAGACAACTACACACTACATCTCGCAACCTCGTCTGAGTGAGTGTTACTTAGACAACTCTTACATAGACACTGTTACATAGACAACTCATACATAGACACTACTACACACTACATCTCGCAACCTCGTCTGAGTGAGTGTTACTTAGACAACTCTTACATAGACACTACTACATACTTAGACAACTCATACATAGACACTACTACCCACTACATCTCACAACCTCGTCTGAGTGAGTACTACTTAGACAACTCATACATAGACACTGTTACATAGACAACTCATACATAGACACTACTACACACTACATCTCGCAACCTCGTCTGAGTGAGTGTTACTTAGACAGCTCATACATAGACACTACTACATACTTAGACAACTCATACATAGACACTACTACACACTACATCTCACAACCTCGTCTGAGTGAGTGTTACTTAGACAACTCATACATAGACACTGTTACATAGACACTACTACATAGACACTGTTACATAGACACTACTACATAGACACTACACACTACATAGACACTGTTACATAGACACTACTACATAGACACTACTACATAGACACTACACACTACATAGACACTGTTACATAGACACTACTACATAGACACTACTACATAGACAACTACAAACTACATCTCACAACCTCGTCTGAGTGAGTACTACTTAGACACTACTACATAGACACTACTACATAGACACTACTACATAGACACTACACACTACATCTCACAACCTCGTCTGAGTGAGTACTACTTAGACACTACTACATAGACACTACTACATAGACACTGTTACATAGACACTACTACATAGACAACTACACACTACATCTCACAACCTCGTCTGAGTGAGTACTACATAGACACTACTACATAGACAACTCATACATAGACACTACTACATAGACACTACACACTACATAGACACTACTACATAGACACTACACACTACATAGACTCTACATAGACACTACTACATAGACACTACATATACATTACTACATAGACAACTCATACTTAGACACTGCTACATAGACACTACTACATAGACATTACTACATAGACACTACTACATAGACACTGCTACATAGACACTACTACATAGACACTACTACATAGACAACTACTACATAGACACTACACACTATAGACACTACTACATAGACACTACACACTACATAGACACTACTACATAGACACTACACACTACATAGACACTACTACATAGACACTACACACTACATAGACACTACTACATAGACACTACTACATAGACAACTACACACTACATAGACACTACTACATAGACACTACACACTACATAGACACTACTACATAGACACTACTACATAGACACTACACACTACGTAGACACTACTACATAGACACTACTACATGACACTACACACTACATAGACACTAGCTAGCTACTAGACACTAGCTACTAGCTAGTGTCTAGTAGCTAACTAGCCACTAGCTAGCCACTAGCTAGTAGCTAGCTAGTGGCTAGCTAGTAGCTAGCCACTAGCTAGCCACTAGCTAGCTACTGCCTAGTAGCTAGCTACTAGACACTAGCTACTAGCTAGCTAGTGGCTACTAGCTACTTGTCACTAGCTGGCTAGTAGCTAGCTAGCCACTAGCTAGTGGCTAGCTAGTGGCTAGTAGCTAGCCACTAGCTAGCTACTGCCTAGTAGCTACTAGACACTAGCTAGCTAGTGGCTAGTTAGCTACTAGACACTAGCTAGCTAGTGGCTAGTTAGGTACTAGCCACTAGCTGGATAGTAGCTAACTAGCCACTAGCTAGCCACTAGCTAGTAGCTAGCCACTAGCTAGCTACTGCCTAGTAGCTAGCTACCAGCCACTACCAACCAGTAGCTAGCTAGTGGCTAGTAGCTAGCTAGTAGCCACTAGCTGGCTTGTAGCTAACTAGTGGCTAGCTAGTGGCTAGTAGCTAGCTAGACACTAGCTAGTAGCTAGCTAGTGGCTACTGGCTAGTGGCTAGTAGCTTCCTGGTCTGTCGCTCTGCACTAAGCTTCAGGTCTTCTCGGCCACGGTCATTCCCTCTCTTCTCTACGCTTGCGAAACGTGGACCCCCCTAATGGAACATCTTCACCGGTTAGAAACATTTAGGCTGGCCTGCCTACGATCCATCCTGGGTTTAACCAGGCTGGATTGTGTGAGGAGCTCACAAATCCTCAAAAGATCTGGACAAAGTTCCATCGGTGAGCACCTCCGGCAGACAAGGCTGCGTTGGCTGGGTCATGTAGCCCGCATGCCCAGCCACCGCATGCCCAAACAGCTTTTGTTCGGTCGGATCGAGGGGGCTAAACGGGCGCGGCATGGGCTAGAGAAGAGATGGAGTGATGTGGTACAGGAGGACGTGGAGCTGAGTGGATTGCCGATGACTGGTACCAGGGGTGTCAAGATCGGCCTCTGTGAAGGATGCTACTGGGCAGTTGGAGGCAGTTGCCCTCCAACAACAACGGAGGGCGGAGGAGCGACGCTCACAACAACGAGCGGAGCGCCGGGTGGCTAAGGCACAGCAGGTTGGCACAATAGGGGGCACAGGTGGTGCATCAGCCAGTCATCTCAGTCAGTCGACCCGTGGCACCTGGGTCTGCCCCGTGACCTCCTGCCAGCGGGCGTTCGACACTTCACGTGGCCTCAAGGTGCACATAGCCTGGCACAAGCGTCGTGGTGACGTCACTGCCACTTATTGGCGAATGGCGGTTGTTGTGTATATCTGTGTGTCTATCTGTGTGTATATCTGTGTGTCTATCTGTGTATATCTGTGTGTGTGTATATATGTGTGTCTATCTGTGTGTGTATATCTGTGTGTCTATCTGTGTGTGTATATCTGTGTGTATATCTGCATGTCTATCTGTGTGTGTGTCTGTGTGTTGCAGCTTACAAGACGGTTTCTGGCGTTAATGGACCACTGGTGATTTTGGATCAAGTAAAGGTACGTCGTGTGTGTGTCTGTGTGTGTGTCTGTCTGTGTGTGTGTCTGTCTGTGTGTGTGTGTGTGTCTGTGTGTCTCTGTGTCAAAACAACCCTCTACCTCCTTGTGGTGCCGGATGGGCAACGCTTACATGGACAATGCTGTGGGGGGAGGGACAATTCCGATTGGCTCCTCTCCTCATGGCCTTTGTAACCACCACAGCGGCCAAACGGGGGCTCTGGATGGGTGCGAGGGGCTGGTGACCCTTCCACCTTTAATGAACTACCACTAAACCACGTCTAAGATATCTAACTAATAAACTTGTGCTGGAGGCCCCGGGGGGACAGGCATCTATGACGTCTCCTGGCAAACCCCATTTGGCGGAGCCAGGAGACTGAATCCTTAACCTCGGGGCTCCTCCAGAAAAACAACAAAAAGCCACTTCGTGTGGCCACGCGGAATGTTCGAACGCTCACTGCGAGGAGAGGCTGCCACTCCTCTGTCGGGAGCTGGACCGGTACCGCCTGGATCTCTGTGGTATTCAGGAGGTCCGGTGGACCGGCTCTGGCTCCTGCCACCAGGAGGGGTGGACAGTCCTCTACTCGGGGCAGCAGACTGCCAAACAGGGTGTGTGGCTCTTCTGAACAAAAGAATGAAGGGGGCGTGGGAGCGTGGCGGTGAGGTGTGGGAAGCTGTAAGCCCCAGGCTACTTTGGGCTAGCCTTCCCATCAACCGGAGGCGAGGAGTGGTGGTCGTGGTTACTTATACCCCCACCGAAGACGAACATCCGTGGAGGGATGCAGGCAAGGCCGATGAGTGAGATGCCTTCTATGACCTCCTGTCACAGGTGCTAGCTAAAGTGGCCCCTCGGGATAGAGTCATCTTGTTGGGTGACTTCAATGCCCGAGTTGGTCATGATGCTGGCACCTGGTCTGGAGTGATTGGAGGGCATGGGCCAGATCAGCTCAATAACAGCAAGAGGCTGCTAGATTTTTGTGCAGCCCATGGGCTTGTAATTACCAACACGCTGTTCCGGCATCGGCGCATCGATACCACATCACGGATGCGTGCCGGGTCCAAGCAAGAACATCTGCTGGACTACATAGTGACAGAACAGCGGATGCGGGCCCATGTCCTTGACACCAGGACCTACCGTGGAGCTGATCTGCCCTCTGATCATCGACATGTCATCTGGAAGATGCGCCTGCCATTCCGTTCCGGTGGTGGGTGTACACCCAGGACCCCATTCAAACCCTTGGTGGCCTGGTCTCAGCTAGCTGACAAAAGTTGCAAGCGAGAATTTCATCATCATTTGCAGCTGGGGTTGGCATCGTCCCCGACTCCTGATGTCGAGGGGAAATGGGTGAGGTTTAGGACTATGGTTCATGCAGCTGCAATGGCTGCTTTGGGTACACGGTCCAGACCTCCCCAGAGACCCTGGCTGACAGAGGAGTTGTTCAGGATGGTTGAGAAAAAGCGACAGGCCCACTCTCATCGGCTACAGAATTCCACGTCGGAGAATGAGGAGGCTTGCCGCAGCCTTCGCTCGGAGGTTCGGAGAGCCGTGAGGCGCTGCAAGGATGGGTGGGGGTCACGGGTTGCTGAGGAGATGGAGTCTGCCTCAGTGGCCCGCGATCACAAATCTCTATTAAACTCCATCAAAAAAGTAACCTGCAGCGCCACACCTATTACCATCATTAGGGGAAAGAACGGTGATCCAATCTCCGACCCCCAGGAACAGGTTTGCAGATTTGCTGAGCATTTCTGTGAGGTCCTGGGGGAGGGGAAATCCCTCAGCCAGGAAAACAACATGGGACAAAGTGGGGATGATCCTGCTGAGGCTGCGGTGCCTCAAATATTGGAGGTGGAAGTCACCCCCTGTGAGTGGCTGGCTGAGGTGCCATCTGTTGAGGAAGTACTAAAGACGATCCAGAGTCTGAGACCAGGAAAGGCACCAGGCAGAGATGATCTCCCAAGCGAAATGCTGAGGGAGGGTGGCGTTTGTGCACAGACTGCCCTATATGACATCATAACAACAGTCTGGACCACTGGATGGGTTCCGCAGGACTGGAAGGATGCCCTGACGGTCCCCATCTTTAAGAAGGGGGACCGCACAGACTGTAACATCTACAGGGGGATCTCACTCCTCTGTGTGCCGGGAAAGGTCCTGGCAAGGATTATTCAACATCGCCTTGCCAGGCACGCTGAGGAGAGGCTTGCAGAGCCCCAATGCGGTTTCAGGAAAGAGCGGTCCTGCACAGATGCCATATTTTCTGTCCATTTGTTACAACAGAGGTGTAGGGAATTCCAACAAGACCTACATCTCTGCTTTATGAACCCGCTGCTCACGATCATTAAGGACCTTCATGATGGTGAGTGGGCCCGGGTAAAACTACGTGGCCGGGAGTCAGAGCCATTCCCTGTACACCTTGGGGTGCGACAGGGATGCCCTCTGGCTCCCACATTATTTAACATCTATCGTGACCACGTAGTTCATGAAGCCTTCAATAGCTGTACCGGGGGAATCTCCATATGGTACAGATATAATGGGAGGCTGATCGATGCCCGGGTGCGGTCAAGGGATGGCTCCCTATTGCTCAACCACGTTATGTATGCCTATGATTTGGTAATAGCTGCTCAGTCAGAGGAGGAGTTGGAGACGCTGCTGCTGAAACTGAAGTGTCCCACTAAGAGGTGGGGCCTTACCATCAGCCCCACCTGCCTGGGTATTTTGTTCCATCGGACACTCCACCCCCACAACTTCCAATCTGTGATGGAGCAGTTGTGGAGAGAGTGGAGAGTTTCTCATACCTGGGCAGTGTGCTCATGACCGGCTTCGATTTAACAGCAGAGGTCTCACTCCGAATCAGTCGAGCAGCAATATCTTTTCATCGGTTGCATAACGCTGTGTGGAAGCTACCTGGTCTGTCGCTCCGCATGAAGCTTCGGGTCTTCTCGGCCACGGTCATTCCCTCCCTTCTCTACGCTTGCGAAACATGGACCCCCCTAATGGAACATCTTCGCCGGTTAGAAACATTTAGGCTGGCCTGCCTACGATCCATCCTGGGTTTAACCAGGTAGGATTGTGTGAGGAGCTCACAAATCCTTGAAAGATCTGGGCAAGGTCCAATCGGTGAGCTCCTCCGGCAGGCAAGGCTGCGTTGGCTGGGTCATGTAGCCCGCATGCCCAGACACCTTATGCCTAAACAGCTTTTGTTCGGCCGGATCGAGGGGGTTAAACGGGCGCGGCACGGGCTAGAGAAGAGACGGAGTGATGTGGTACAGGAGGACGTGGAGCTGAGTGGACTTGCCGATGACTGGTACCAGCAGTGTCAAGATCGGCCTCTGTGGAGGAGGCTCGTGAAGGACGCTACTGGGCAGTTGGAGGCAGTCGCCCTCCAACAACAACGGAGGGCGGAGGAGCGACGCTCAGAACAACGAGCGGAGCGCCGGGTGGCTAAAGCACAGCAGGTTGGCACAGTAGGGGGCACAGGTGGTGCATCAGCCAGTCATCTCAGTCAGTCGACCCGTGGCACCTGGGTCTGCCCCGTGACCTCCTGCCAGCGGGCGTTCGACACTTCACGTGGCCTCAAGGTGCACATGGCCTGGCACAAGCGTCGTGGTGACGTTACCGCCACTTAGTGGCGAATGCCGGTTGTAGTTGTTCTTGTGTGTAGGTTTGTGTGTGTGTGTAGGTGTAGTGGTTAGCGCTATGCTACGAACCTGGTGACCCGAGTTCAATTCCCGCTCACGGCCAGCACCGTCGGTGACGATTGTCTCGAACCGGTCCTGGGCCTCCCCTAGGTCGGCTCAGCCTCAAATGAGTACCTGGTGTAGCAGTGTAGTGAACATCGCTAGCACTGGGGAGACAAAGACGGCCGGGCGTGGTGGTGCTGGTCACCCACCCTCCTTGTGTGCCGTTCCGGCCTTCATAGGTAGCGCTGCTACTCGCTACTAACAGCACTTGCCCCTACAGCCTGTTACAGGCTACATGGGGGAGCTTTGTCTGTGTGTGTAACAGCACTTGCCCCTACAGCCTGTCACAGGCTACACGGGGGATCTTTGTCTGTGTAACAGCACTTGCCCCTACAGCCTGTCAGGCTACACGGGGGACCTTTGCCTGTGTCTGTGTAACAGCACTTGCCCCTACAGCCTGTTACAGGCTACACGGGGGATCTTTGTCTGTGTGTGTAACAGCACTTGCCCCTACAGCCTGTCACAGGCTACACAGGGGACCTTTGTCTGTGTCTGTGTAACAGCACTTGCCCCTACAGCCTGTCACAGGCTACACGGGGGACCTTTGTCTGTGTCTGTGTGTGTAACAGCACTTGCCCCTAGAGCCTGTCACAGGCTACACGGGGGACCTTTGTCTGTGTCTGTGTAACAGCACTTGCCCCTAGAGCCTGTCACAGGCTACACGGGGGACCTTTGCCTGTGTCTGTGTAACAGCACTTGCCCCTACAGCCTGTCACAGGCTACACGGGGGACCTTTGCCTGTGTCTGTGTGTGTAACAGCACTTGCCCCTACAGCCTGTCACAGGCTACACGGGGGACCTTTGCCTGTGACTGTGTAACAGCACTTGCCCCTACAGCCTGTCACAGGCTACATGGGGGAGCTTTGTCTGTGTGTGTAACAACACTTGCCCCTACAGCCTGTCACAGGCTACACGGGGGACCTTTGCCTGTGTCTGTGTAACAGCACTTGCCCCTACAGCCTGTCACAGGCTACACGGGGGATCTTTGTCTGTGTGTAACAGCACTTGCCCCTACAGCCTGTCACAGGCTACACGGGGGACCTTTGCCTGTATCTGTGTAACAGCACTTGCCCCTACAGCCTGTCACAGGCTACACAGGGGACCTTTGTCTGTGTCTGTGTGTAACAGCACTTGCCCCTACAGCCGTCACAGGCTACACGGGGGATCTTTGTCTGTGTGTGTGTGTAACAGCACTTGCCCCTACAGCCTGTTACAGGCTACACGGGGGATCTTTGTCTGTGTGTGTGTGTAACAGCACTTGCCCCTACAGCCTGTTACAGGCTACACGGGGGATCTTTGTCTGTGTGTGTGTGTAACAGCACTTGCCCCTACAGCCTGCTACAGGCTACATGGGGGATCTTTGTGTGTGTAACAGCACTTGCCCCTACAGCCTGTCACAGGCTACACGGGGGACCTTTGTCTGTGTCTGTGTAACAGCACTTGCCCCTACAGCCTGTCACAGGCTACACGGGGGACCTTTGCCTGTGTCTGTGTAACAGCACTTGCCCCTACGGCCTGTCACAGGCTACACGGGGGACCTTTGCCTGTGTCTGTGTAACAGCACTTGCCCGTACAGCCTGTCACAGGCTACACGGGGGATCTTTGCCTGTGTCTGTGTGTGTAACAGCACTTGCCCCTACAGCCTGTCACAGGCTACACGGGGGATCTTTGTCTGTGTGTAACAGCACTTGCCCCTACAGCCTGTCACAGGCTACACGGGGGACCTTTGCCTGTGTCTGTGTAACAGCACTTGCCCCTACAGCCTGTCACAGGCTACACGGGGGATCTTTGTGTGTGTAACAGCACTTGCCCCTACAGCCTGTCACAGGCTACACGGGGGACCTTTGCCTGTGTCTGTGTAACAGCACTTGCCCCTACAGCCTGTCACAGGCTACACAGGGGACCTTTGTCTGTGTCTGTGTGTAACAGCACTTGCCCCTACAGCCTGTCACAGGCTACACGGGGGACCTTTGTCTGTGTCTGTGTACAGCACTTGCCCCTACAGCCTGTCACAGGCTACAAGGGGGATCTTTGCCTGTGTTTGTGTAACAGCACTTGCCCCTACAGCCTGTCACAGGCGACACGGGGGATCTTTGCCTGTCTCTGTGTAACAGCACTTGCCCCTACGGCCTGTCACAGGCTACACGGGGGATCTTTGCCTGTGTCTGTGTAACAGCACTTGCCCCTATGGCCTGTCACAGGCTACACGGGGGACCTTTGCCTGTGTCTGTGTAACAGCACTTGCCCCTACAGCCTGTCACAGGCTACACGGGGGACCTTTGCCTGTGTCTGTGTAACAGCACTTGCCCCTACAGCCTGTCACAGGCTACACGGGGGACCTTTGCCTGTGTCTGTGTAACAGCACTTGCCCCTACGGCCTGTCACAGGCTACACGGGGGACCTTTGCCTGTGTCTGTGTAACAGCACTTGCCCGTACAGCCTGTCACAGGCTACACGGGGGATCTTTGCCTGTGTCTGTGTGTGTAACAGCACTTGCCCCTACAGCCTGTCACAGGCTACACGGGGGATCTTTGTCTGTGTGTAACAGCACTTGCCCCTACAGCCTGTCACAGGCTACACGGGGGACCTTTGCCTGTGTCTGTGTAACAGCACTTGCCCCTACAGCCTGTCACAGGCTACACGGGGGATCTTTGTGTGTGTAACAGCACTTGCCCCTACAGCCTGTCACAGGCTACACGGGGGACCTTTGCCTGTGTCTGTGTAACAGCACTTGCCCCTACAGCCTGTCACAGGCTACACAGGGGACCTTTGTCTGTGTCTGTGTGTAACAGCACTTGCCCCTACAGCCTGTCACAGGCTACACGGGGGACCTTTGTCTGTGTCTGTGTACAGCACTTGCCCCTACAGCCTGTCACAGGCTACAAGGGGGATCTTTGCCTGTGTTTGTGTAACAGCACTTGCCCCTACAGCCTGTCACAGGCGACACGGGGGATCTTTGCCTGTCTCTGTGTAACAGCACTTGCCCCTACGGCCTGTCACAGGCTACACGGGGGATCTTTGCCTGTGTCTGTGTAACAGCACTTGCCCCTATGGCCTGTCACAGGCTACACGGGGGACCTTTGCCTGTGTCTGTGTAACAGCACTTGCCCCTACAGCCTGTCACAGGCTACACGGGGGACCTTTGCCTGTGTCTGTGTAACAGCACTTGCCCCTACTTCCTGTCACAGGCTACACGGGGGACCTTTGTCTGTGTAACAACACTTGCCCCTACAGCCTGTCACAGGCTACACGGGGGACCTTTGCCTGTGTCTGTGTAACAACACTTGCCCCTACAGCCTGTCACAGGCTACACGGGGGACCTTTGCCTGTGTCTGTGTAACAGCCCTTGCCCCTACGGCCTGTCACAGGCTACACGGGGGACCTTTGCCTGTGTCTGTGTAACAGCACTTGCCCCCTCTGCCCTCTCCCCACCGCACAGTTCCCCAAATATGCGGAGATCGTTCACCTGACCCTGCCTGACGGGGTTCGCCGTAGCGGACAAGTGCTTGAGGTGTCGGGGTCCAAGGCCGTGGTGCAGGTGTGGCCGGCTCTCTCTGTCACGTCTTCTGGGTCACGTGGTGTGGCCGGGTATCTCTGTTACATCTTCTGGTTCAGGCGGTGTGGCCGGGTATCTCTGTCACATCTTCTGGTTCACGTGGTGTGGCCGAATCTCTCTGTCACATTTTCTAGTTCACGTGGTGTGGCCGGATATCTCTGTCACATCTTCTGGTTCACGTGGTGTGGTCAGATCTCTCTGTCATATCTTCTGGTCCATGTGGTGTGGCCGGGTATCTCTGTCACATCTTCTAGTTCAGGCGGTGTGGCCGGGTATCTATGTCACATCTTCTGGTTCACGTGGTGTGGCCGTATCTCTCTGTCACATCCTCTGGTCCACGTGGTGTGGCCGGGTATCTATGTCACATCTTCTGGTTCACGTGGTGTGGCCGTATCTCTCTGTCACATCCTCTGGTCCACGTGGTGTGGCCGGGTATCTCTGTCACATCTTCTAGTTCAGGCGGTGTGGCCGTATCTCTCTGTCACATCTTCTGGTTCACGTGGTGTGGCCGGATATCTCTGTCACATCTTCTGGTCCACGTGGTGTGGCCGGATGTCTCTGTCACATCTTCTGGTCCACGTGGTGTGGCCGGGTATCTCTGTCGCATCTTCTGGTTCACGTGGTGTGGCCGGGCCTCTCTCCGTCACATCTTCTGGTTCACGTGGTGTGGCCGGGTATCTCTGTCACATCTTCTAGTTCAGGCGGTGTGGCCGTATCTCTCTGTCACATCTTCTGGTCCACGTGGTGTGGCCGGATGTCTCTGTCACATCTTCTGGTCCACGTGGTGTGGCCGGGTATCTCTGTCGCATCTTCTGGTTCACGTGGTGTGGCCGGGCCTCTCTCCGTCACATCTTCTGGTTCACGTGGTGTGGCCGGATCTCTCTGTTACGTCTTCTGGTTCAGGCGGTGTGGCGATCTCTCTGTCACATCTTCTGGTTCACGTGCTGTGGCTGGATATCTCTGTTACATCTTCTGGTTCACGTGGTGTGGCAGAGTATCTCTGTCACATCTTCCGGTTCACGTGATGTGGCCGGGTATCTCTGTCACATCTTCTAGTTCACGTGGTGTGGCCGGATATCTCTGTCACATCTTCTGGTTCACGTGGTGTGGCCGGATATCTCTGTCACATCTTCTAGTTCACGTGGTGTGGCCGGGTATCTCTGTTACATCTTCTGGTTCACTTGGTGTGGCCGAGTATCTCTGTTGCATCTTCTAGTTCACGTGGTGTGGCCGGGTATCTCTGTTTTACATCTTCTAGTTCACGTGGTGTGGCCGGGCATCTCTGTCACATCTTCTGGCTCACGTGGTGTGGCCGGATATCTCTGTCACATCTTCTGGTTCACGTGGTGTGGCCGGATATCTGTCACATCTTCTAGTTCACGCGGTGTGGCCGGGTCTCTGTACGTCTTCTAGTTCACGTGGTGTGGCAATTTCAGTGTGTCTGTGTGTCTATGTGTGTGTGTGTGTCTGTATGTGTGTGTGTCTCTGTGTGTGTGTCTGTGTGAGTGTGTGTGTCTGTGTGAGTGTGTGTCTATCTGTGTGTGTGTGTCTGTGTGTGAGTGTGTGTATGTGTGTGTGTGTCTGTGTGTGTCAATGTGTGTGTATCTGTGAGTGTGTGTGTCTATGTGTGTGTGTCTCTGTCTATCTGCGTGTGTGTCTGCGTGTGTGTCTGTGTGTGTCTATCTGTGTGTGTGTGTCTGTGTGTGTCTATCTGTGTGTGTGTCTGTGTGTGTCTATCTGTGTGTGTGTGTCTGTGTGTGTGTCTATCTGTGTGTGTGTGTCTGTGTGTGTCTATCTGTGTGTGTGTCTGTGTGTGTGTCTATCTGTGTGTGTCTGTGTGTGCGTCTCTGTGCAGGTGTTTGAGGGAACGTCCGGTATTGATGCCCGCAAGACCACTTGCGAGTTCACAGGGGACATCCTTCGCACTCCGGTGTCAGAGGACATGCTGGGTGCGTGACGCACACACAGACACGGAGTGACGCACACACAGACACGGTGTGACGCACACACAGACACGGTGTGACGCACACACAGACACGGAGTGACGCACAGACACACACACACAGACACACACACACAGACACGGAGTGACGCACACACAGACACACACACACAGACACGGAGTGACGCACACACAGACACGGAGTGACGCACAGACACACACACACAGACACACACACACAGACACGGAGTGACGCACACACAGACACACACACACAGACACGGAGTGACGCACACACAGACACGGAGTGACGCACACACAGACACGGAGTGACGCACACACAGACACGGAGTGACGCACACACAGGCACGGAGTGACGCACACACAGACACGGAGTGACGCACACACAGACACGGTGTGACGCACACACAGACACGGTGTGACGCACACACAGACACGGTGTGACGCACACACAGACACGGAGTGACGCACACACAGACACGGAGTGACGCACACACAGACACGGTGTGACGCACACACAGACACGGTGTGACGCACACACAGACACGGAGTGACGCACACACAGACACGGTGTGACACACACACAGACACGGAGTGACGCACACACAGACACGGAGTGACGCACACACAGACACGGTGTGACGCACACACAGACACGGAGTGACGCACACACAGACACGGAGTGACGCACACACAGACACGGAGTGACGCACACACAGACACGGTGTGACGCACACACAGACACGGTGTGACGCACACACAGACACGGTGTGACGCACACACAGACACGGAGTGACGCACACACAGACACGGTGTGACGCACACACAGACACGGTGTGACGCACACACAGACACGGTGTGACGCACACACAGACACGGAGTGACGCACACACAGACACGGAGTGACGCACACACAGGCACGGAGTGACGCACACACAGGCACGGTGTGACGCACACACAGGCACGGTGTGACGCACACACAGACACGGTGTGACGCACACACAGACACGGTGTGACGCACACACAGACACGGTGTGACGCACACACAGACACGGTGTGACGCACACACAGACACGGTGTGACGCACACACAGACACGGTGTGACGCACACACAGACACGGTGTGACGCACACACAGACACGGAGTGACGCACACACAGACACGGAGTGACGCACACACAGACACACACACACAGACACACACACACAGACACGGTGTGACGCACACACAGACACACACACACAGACACACACACACAGACACACACACACAGACACACACACACAGACACGGAGTGACGCACACACAGACACACAGACAGACACACAGACACACACACAGACACACACACAGACACACACACAGACACACACACAAACACACACACAGACACACACAGACACACACACACAGACACACACACACAGACACACACACAGACACGGTGTGACGCACACATAGACACACACAGTGTGACGCACACACAGACACACACACAGACACACACAGACACACACACAGACACGGTGTGATGCACACAGGGTGACACGCAGTGTAACGCACACGGTGTGACGCGCACGGTGTGACCCACACGGTGTAACGCACACACAGATATACACACATACACGGTGTGACGCACACGGTGTGACGCACACGGAGTGACGCACACGGGGTGACACACACACAGACACACACACACACAGACACGGTGTGACGCGCACGGTGTGATGCACACGGGGTGACGCACACGGGGTGACACACACACAGACACACACAGATATACACACATACACGGTGTGATGCACACGGTGTGATGCACACGGTGTGATGCACACGGTGTGACGCACACGGGGTGATGCACACGGGGTGACACACACACAGACACACAGACACGGTGTGACGCACACGGGGTGATGCACACGGGGTGACACACACACAGACACACACATGGTGTGACGCACACGGGGTGACACACACACACAGACACACAGACATGGTGTGACGCACACGGGGTGACACACACGGTGTGCCGCACACACAGATACACACAGACACGGTGTGACGCACACGGGGTGACGCACACAGACAGACATGGTGTGACGCACACGGGGTGACACACACGGGGTGACACACACACACGGTGTGACGCACACACAGATATATACACAGACATGGTGTGACGCACACGGGGTGACACACACGGTGTGCCGCACACACAGATACACACAGACACGGTGTGACGCACACGGGGTGACGCACACAGACAGACATGGTGTGACGCACACGGGGTGACACACACGGGGTGACACACACACACGGTGTGACGCACACACAGATATATACACAGACATGGTGTGATGCACACGGGGTGAGGCACACGGTATGACGCACACGGTGTGTATGATGCTGTGTGTGATGCTGTGTGTGTATGATGCTGTGTGTGTATGATGCTGTGTGTGTATGACGCTGTGTGTATGATGCTGTGTGTGTATGACGCTGTGTGTGTATGACGCTGTGTGTGTATGGCGCTGTGTGTGTATGACGCTGTATGTGTATGATGCTGTGTGTATGACGCTGTGTATGATGCTGTGTGTATGATGCTGTGTGTATGATGCTGTGTGTGATGCTGTGTGTATGATGCTGTGTGTATGATGCTGTGTGTGTGATGCTGTGTGTGTATGATGCTGTGTGTATGATGCTGTGTGTATGACACTGTGTGTGCTGCTATGTGTATGACGCTGTGTGTATGATGCTGTGTGTATGATGCTGTGTGTGTGTGACGCTGTTTGTGTATGATGCTGTGTGTATGACACTGTGTGTATGACACTGTGTGTGTGGTGCTATGTGTATGACGCTGTGTGTATGATGCTGTGTGTATGATGCTGTGTGTGTGACGCTGTGTGTGTATGATGCTGTGTGTATGACACTGTGTATGACACTGTGTGTGTGCTGCTATGTGTATGATGCTGTGTGTATGATGCTGCGTGACGCTGTGTGTATGACGCTATGTGTGTATGATGCTTTGTGTGTATGATGCTGTGTGTATGATGATGTGTGTGTATGACGCTGTGTGTATGACACTGTGTGTGTGCTGCTGTGTGTATGACGCTGTGTGTGTATGACGCTGTGTGTGTATGACGCTGTGTATGATGCTGTGTGTGTGTGATGCTGTGTGTGTGTATGAATCTGTGTGTATGATGCTATGTGTGTATGACACTGTGTGTGTATGATGCTGTGTGTGTGTATGACGCTGTGTGTATGACGCTGTGTGTGTGACGCTGTGTGTGTGACGCTGTGTGTGTGACGCTGTGTATGACGCTGTGTGTGTGACGCTGTGTGTGTGACGCTGTGTGTGTATGATGCTGTGTATGACGCTGTGTGTGTGTATGACGCTGTGTGTATGATGCTGTGTGTGTGTGTATGACGCTGTGTGTGTGTATGACGCTGTGTGTGTGCTGCTGTGTGTATGACGCTGTGTGTGTATGACGCTGTGTGTATGACGCTGTGTGTATGACGCTCTGTGTGTTTGTATGACGCTGTGTGTGTGTGTATGACGCTGTGTGTATGACGCTGTGTGTATGATGCTGTGTGTATGACGCTGTGTGTATGACGCTGTGTGTGTATCACGCTGTGTGTGTATGATGCTATGTGTGTATGACGCTGTGTGTGTATGATGCTGTGTGTGTGATGCTGTGTGTGTGTGACGCTGTGTGTATGACACTGTGTGTATGATGCTGTGTGTGTGTATGATGATGTGTGTATGACGCTGTGTGTGTGCTGCTGTGTGTATGACGCTGTGTGTATGACGCTGTGTGTATGACACTGTGTATGACACTGTGTGTGTGATGCTGTGTGTATGACGCTGTGTGTATGACGCTGTGTGTATGACGCTGTGTGTATGATGCTGTGTGTATGACACTGTGTGTATGACACTGTGTGTGTGCTGCTATGTGTATGACGCTGTGTGTATGATGCTGTGTGTATGATGCTGTGTGTATGATGCTGTGTGTGTGTGACGCTGTTTGTGTATGATGCTGTGTGTATGACACTGTGTGTATGACGCTGTGTGTGTGACGCTGTGTGTATGACGCTGTGTGTATGATGCTGTGTGTATGATGCTGTGTGTGTGACGCTGTGTGTGTATGATGCTGTGTGTATGACACTGTGTATGACACTGTGTGTGTGCTGCTATGTGTATGATGCTGTGTGTATGATGCTGCGTGACGCTGTGTGTATGACGCTATGTGTGTATGATGCTTTGTGTGTATGATGCTGTGTGTATGATGATGTGTGTGTATGACGCTGTGTGTATGACACTGTGTGTGTGCTGCTGTGTGTATGACGCTGTGTGTGTATGACGCTGTGTGTGTATGACGCTGTGTATGATGCTGTGTGTGTGTGATGCTGTGTGTGTGTATGAATCTGTGTGTATGATGCTATGTGTGTATGACACTGTGTGTGTATGATGCTGTGTGTGTGATGCTGTGTGTGTGTATGACGCTGTGTGTATGACGCTGTGTGTGTGACGCTGTGTGTGTGACGCTGTGTGTGTGACGCTGTGTATGACGCTGTGTGTGTGACGCTGTGTGTGTGACGCTGTGTGTGTATGATGCTGTGTATGACGCTGTGTGTGTGTATGACGCTGTGTGTATGATGCTGTGTGTGTGTGTATGACGCTGTGTGTGTGTATGACGCTGTGTGTGTGCTGCTGTGTGTATGACGCTGTGTGTATGACGCTGTGTGTATGACGCTGTGTGTATGACGCTCTGTGTGTTTGTATGACGCTGTGTGTGTGTGTATGACGCTGTGTGTATGACGCTGTGTGTATGACGCTGTGTGTATGACGCTGTGTGTGTATCACGCTGTGTGTGTATGATGCTATGTGTGTATGACGCTGTGTGTGTATGATGCTGTGTGTGTGATGCTGTGTGTGTGTGACGCTGTGTGTATGACACTGTGTGTATGATGCTGTGTGTGTGTATGATGATGTGTGTATGACGCTGTGTGTGTGCTGCTGTGTGTATGACGCTGTGTGTATGACGCTGTGTGTATGACACTGTGTATGACACTGTGTGTGTGATGCTGTGTGTATGACGCTGTGTGTATGACGCTGTGTGTATGACGCTGTGTGTATGATGCTGTGTGTATGACACTGTGTGTATGACACTGTGTGTGTGCTGCTATGTGTATGACGCTGTGTGTATGATGCTGTGTGTATGATGCTGTGTGTATGATGCTGTGTGTGTGTGACGCTGTTTGTGTATGATGCTGTGTGTATGACACTGTGTGTATGACGCTGTGTGTGTGACGCTGTGTGTATGACGCTGTGTGTATGACGCTGTGTGTATGATGCTGTGTGTGTGATGCTGTATGTGTGTGATGCTGTGTGTATGACGCTGTGTGTATGACGCTGTGTGTATGACGCTGTGTGTGTGTATGATGCTGTGTGTATGTGTGTATGACGCTGTGTGTATGACGCTGTGTGTGTGCTGCTGCTTCAGGCCGTGTGTTCAACGGTTCCGGCAAACCCATTGACAAGGGACCCCCAGTGCTGGCCGAGGACTACCTGGACATCCAGGGTGAGCTCACCACTCACTCACCACTCACTCACCACTCACTACTCACCACTACTCACTCAGTCAGTCACTCACCACTACTCACCACTCACCACTCACTCACCACTCACCACCACTACTCACCACTCACCACTACTCACCACCACTCACCACTCACCACCACTCACCACTCACCACCACTCACTCACCACCACTCACCACTCACCACTCACTCACCACTACTCACCACTCACTCACCACCACTACTCACCACTCACCACTCACTCACCACTACTCACCACCACTCACCACTACTACTCACCACTACTCACCACTCACTCACCACTCACTCACCACTCACCACTCACTCACCACTCACTCACCACTCACTACTCACCACTACTCACCACTACTCACCACTCACCACTCACTCACCACCACTCACCACTACTCACCACTCACCACTACTCACTCAGTCAGTCACTCACCACTCACTACTCACCACTCACCACTACTCACCACTCACTCACCACCACTCACCACTACTCACCACCACTCACTCACCACTACTCACCACCACTCACTCACCACTCACCACCACTCACCACCACTCACCACTACTCACCACTCACTCACCACCACTCACCACTACTCACCACTCACTCACCACTACTCACCACTCACTCACCACCACTCACCACTCACCACTACTCACCACTCACTCACCACTACTCACCACTACTCACCACTCACTCACCACTACTCACCACTACTCACCACTCACCACTACTCACCACTCACTCACCACTACTCACCACTACTCACCACTCACCACTACTCACCACTCACTCACCACCACTCACCACCACTCACTCACCACTCACTCACCACTACTCACCACTACTCACCACCACTCACTCACCACTACTCACCACCACTCACTCACCACTCACCACCACTCACCACCACTCACCACTACTCACCACTCACCACCACTCACCACTACTCACCACCACTCACCACCACTCACCACCACTCACCACTACTCACCACTACTCACCACTACTCACCACCACTCACCACCACTCACCACTACTCACCACCACTCACCACTACTCACCACTCACTCACCACTACTCACCACTCACTCACCACTCACCACTACTCACCACTACTCACCACTCACCACTACTCACCACTCACCACTCACCACCACTCACCACTCACTCAGTCAGTCACTCACTACTCACTACTCACCACTACTCACCACTACTCACCACTCACCACCACTACTCACCACTCACTCACCACTACTCACTATTCACTCACTACTCACCACTCACCACTACTCACCAGTCACTCACCACTACTCACTATTCACTCACTACTCACCACCACTCACCACTACTCACCACTACTCACCACTCACCACTCACTCACTACTCACCACTACTCACCACTACTCACCACTCACCACTACTCACCACTCACCACTCACCACCACTCACTCAGTCAGTCACTCACTACTCACTACTCACCACTACTCACCACTACTCACCACTCACCACTCACCACCACTACTCACCACTCACTCACCACTACTCACTATTCACTCACTACTCACAACTCACCACTACTCACCAGTCACTCACCACTACTCACTATTCACTCACTACTCACCACCACTCACCACTACTCACCACTACTCACCACTCACCACTCACTCACTACTCACCACTACTCACCACTACTCACTACTCACCACTACTCACCACTCACCACTCACCACTACTCACCACCACTCACTACTCACCACTACTCACCACTACTCACCACCACTCACCACTCACCACTACTCACCACTCACCACTCACTCACCACTCACTCACCACTACTCACCACTACTCACCACCACTCACCACTCACCACTACTCACCACTACTCACCACTACTCACCACCACTCACCACTCACCACTACTCACCACTACTCACCACTCACTCAGTCAGTCACTCACTACTCACTACTCACCACTACTCACCACTCACCACTACTCACTACTCACCACTACTCACTACTCACCACTACTCACCACCACTCACCACTCACCACTACTCACCACTACTCACCACTACTCACCACCACTCACCACTCACCACTACTCACCACTACTCACCACTCACTCAGTCAGTCACTCACTACTCACTACTCACCACTACTCACCACTCACCACTACTCACCACTACTCACCACTCACCACTACTCACCACTCACCACTCACTCACCACTCACCACTCACTCACCACTCACCACTCACCACTACTCACCACTACTCACCACTCACTCAGTCAGTCACTCACTACTCACTACTCACCACTACTCACCACTCACTCACCACTCACTCACCACTCACTCAGTCAGTCACTCACTACTCACTACTCACCACTACTCACCACTACTCACTACTCACTCACTACTCACCACTACTCACCACTACTCACTACTATTCACTACTCACCACCACTCACCACTACTCACCACTCACCACTCACCACCACTACTCACCACTCACTCACCACTACTCACTATTCACTCACTACTCACCACTCACCACTACTCACCAGTCACTCACCACTACTCACTATTCACTCACTACTCACCACCACTCACCACTACTCACCACTCACCACTCACTCACTACTCACCACTACTCACCACTATTCACTACTCACCACTACTCACCACTCACCACTACTCACCACCACTCACTACTCACCACTACTCACCACTACTCACCACTACTCACCACTCACCACTACTCACTATTCACTCACTACTCACCACTCACCACTACTCACCACTACTCACCACTCACCACTCACCACTACTCACCACTACTCACCACTACTCACCACTCACCACTCACCACTACTCACCACTACTCACCACTCACCACTACTCACCACTCACCACTCACTCACCACTCACCACTCACTCACCACTCACCACTACTCACCACTACTCACCACTCACTCAGTCAGTCACTCACTACTCACTACTCACCACTACTCACCACTCACTCACCACTCACTCACCACTCACTCAGTCAGTCACTCACTACTCACTACTCACCACTACTCACCACTACTCACCACTACTCACTACTCACTCACTACTCACCACTACTCACTACTATTCACTACTCACCACCACTCACCACTACTCACCACTCACCACTCACCACCACTACTCACCACTCACTCACCACTACTCACTATTCACTCACTACTCACCACTCACCACTACTCACCAGTCACTCACCACTACTCACTATTCACTCACTACTCACCACCACTCACCACTACTCACCACTACTCACCACTCACCACTCACTCACTACTCACCACTGCTCACCACTACTCACCACTATTCACTACTCACCACTACTCACCACTACTCACCACCACTCACTACTCACCACTACTCACCACTACTCACCACTCACCACTACTCACTATTCACTCACTACTCACCACTCACCACTACTCACCACTACTCACGACTCACCACTCTCCACTACTCACCACTACTCACCACTACTCACCACTCACCACTCACCACTACTCACCACTACTCACCACTACTCACCACTCACCACTACTCACTACTCACCACTACTCACTACTCACCACTACTCACCACCACTCACTACTCACCACTACTCACCACTACTCACCACTCACCACTACTCACTATTCACTCACTACTCACCACTCACCACTACTCACCACTACTCACCACTCACCACTCACCACTACTCACCACTACTCACCACTCACCACTACTCACCACTACTCACCACTACTCACCACTCACCACTACTCACTACTCACCACTACTCACTACTCACCACTACTCACCACTACTCACTACTCACCACTACTCACCACTCACCACTACTCACCACTACTCACCACTCACCACTACTCACTACTCACCACTACTCACTACTCACCACTACTCACCACTACTCACTCACCACTCACCACTACTCACCACTACTCACCACTCACCCCTCACCACTACTCACCACTCACTACTCACCACTCACTACTCACCACTACTCACCACTACTCACCACTCACTACTCACCACTACTCACCACTCACTACTCACCACTCACCACTCACTCACCACTCACTCACTCAGTCAGTCACTCACCACTCACTACTCACCACTACTCACCACTACTCACTACTCACTCACTACTCACCACTACTCACCACTCACTACTCACCACTCACTACTCACCACTCACTCACCACTCACTCACTCAGTCAGTCACTCACCACTCACTACTCACCACTACTCACCACTACTCACTACTCACTCACTACTCACCACTCACTACTCACCACTCACTCACTACTCACCACTCACTACTCACCACTTACTACTCACCACTCACTACTCACCACTCACTCAGTCAGTCACTCACCCACTCAGTCAGTCACTCACTACTCACCACTACTCACCACTCACTGCTCACCACTACTCACCACTCACTGCTCACCACTCACCACTACTCACCACTCACTCACTCATTACTCACTCACTCAGTCAGTCACTCACCCACTCACCCACTCAGTCACTCATTACTCACCACTACTCACCACTCACTACTCACCACTTACTCACTCACTCAGTCAGTCACTCACCCACTCAGTCACTCACCACTCACTACTCACCACTCACTACTCACCACTTACTACTCACCACTTACTCACTCACTCAGTCACTCACCCACTCAGTAAGTCACTCACTGCTCACCACTACTCACCACTCACTACTCACCACTCAGTCACTCAGTCACCACTTACTCACCGACTCACTCACCCACTCACTCACCCACTCAGTCACTCACTCAGTCACTCACTCACCACCCACTCACTCACTCACCACTCACTCACTCAGTCACTCACTCACCACCCACTCACTCAGTTACCACTTACTCACCACTCACTCACTCAGTCAGTCACTCATCCACTCACTCACCACCCACTCACTCAGTCAGTCACTCACTCACCACTCACTCACTCAGTCACCCACTCACTCACCACTCACTCGCTCACTCACTCACCACCCACTCACTCATCCACTCACTCACCACCCACTCACTCACTCAGTCAGTCACTCACCACTCACTCACTCAGTCACCCACTCACTCACCACTCACTCAGTCACTCACTCACCACCCACTCACTCAGTCACTCACTCACCACCCACTCACTCAGTCACTCACTCACTCACTCACCACTCACTCGCTCACTCACCACTCACTCACCACTCACTCAGTCACTGACTGACTGAGTGTGTGTCTCTGTGTGTCTCTGTGGGTCTCTCTGTCTCTCTGTGTGTCTCTGTGTGTCTCTGTGTGTCTCTGTGTGTATCTGTGTGTCTCTGTGTGTCTCTGTGTGTCTCTATGGGTCTCTATGTGTCTCTATGGGTCTCTGTGTGTCTCTGTGTGTCTCTGTTGGGGGTCTCTGTGTGTCTCTCTGTGTCTCTCTGTGTGTCTCTGTGTGTCTCTATGGGTCTCTGTGTGTCTCTGTGTGTCTCTGTTGGGGGTCTCTGTGTCTCTCTGTGTGTCTCTGTGTGTCTCTATGGGTCTCTATGGGTCTCTGTGTGTCTCTGTATATCTGTGTGTGTCTCTATGGGTGTCTGTGTGTCTCTCTGTGTGTCTCTGTGTGTCTCTCTGTGTGTCTCTCTATTGGTCTCTATGGGTCTCTATGGGTCTCTGTGTGTCTCTGTGTATCTCTATTGGTCTCTATGGGTCTCTATGGGTCTCTGTGTGTCTCTGTATATCTGTGTGTGTCTCTATGGGTCTCTGTGTGTCTCTGTGTGTCTCTGTTGGGGGTCTCTGTGTGTCTCTCTGTGTCTCTCTGTGTGTCTCTGTGTGTCTCTATGGGTCTCTGTGTGTCTCTGTGTGTCTCTGTTGGGGGTCTCTGTGTCTCTCTGTGTGTCTCTGTGTGTCTCTATGGGTCTCTATGGGTCTCTGTGTGTCTCTGTATATCTGTGTGTGTCTCTATGGGTGTCTGTGTGTCTCTCTGTGTGTCTCTGTGTGTCTCTCTGTGTGTCTCTCTATTGGTCTCTATGGGTCTCTATGGGTCTCTGTGTGTCTCTGTGTATCTCTATTGGTCTCTATGGGTCTCTATGGGTCTCTGTGTGTCTCTGTATATCTGTGTGTGTCTCTATGGGTCTCTGTGTGTCTGTGTGTCTCTGTGTGTCTCTCTGTGTGTCTCTGTGTGTCTCTCTATTGGTTTCTATGGGTCTCTATGGGTCTCTGTGTGTCTCTGTGTGTCTCTGTTGGGGGTCTCTATGCCACTCTCTCCCTCTGCCCCCATCCCAGGCCAGCCCATCAACCCCCAGTCCCGCATCTACCCCGAGGAGATGATCCAGACGGGGATCTCCGCCATTGATACCATGAACAGCATCGCCCGCGGGCAGAAGATCCCAATCTTCTCCGCTGCTGGCTTACCCCACAACGAGGTCAGTAGCAGTAGTATCATCATCATCAGTAGTAGTATCATCATCATCATCATCAGTAGTAGTATCATCATCATCAGTAGTAGTAGTATCATCATCAACAGTAGTATCATCATCATCAGTAGTAGTATCATCATCATCATCATCAGTAGTAGTAGTATCATCATCAACAGTAGTATCATCATCATCAGTAGTAGTAGTATCATCATCAGTAGTAGTATCATCATCATCAGTTGTAGTATCAGCAGCAGTAGTAGTATCATCAGTAGTAGTAGTATCAGCAGCAGTAGTAGTATCATCATCATCATCAGTAGTAGTAGTATCATCATCATCAGTAGTAGTAGTATCAGCAGCAGTAGTAGTATCATCATCAGTAGTAGTATCAGCAGCAGTAGTAGTATCATCATCAGTAGTAGTAGTATCAGCAGCAGTAGTAGTATCATCATCATCAGTAGTAGTAGTATCATCATCAACAGTAGTATCATCATCATCATCAGTAGTAGTAGTATCATCATCAGTAGTAGTATCATCATCATCAGTAGTAGTATCAGCAGCAGTAGTAGTATCGTCATCATCAGTAGTAGTATCATCATCATCAGTAGTAGTATCAGCAGCAGTAGTAGTATCAGCAGCAGTAGTAGTATCGTCATCATCAGTAGTAGTATCATCATCATCAGTAGTAGTATCATCATCATCAGTAGTAGTATCATCACCATCAGCAGCAGTAGTATCAGCAGCAGTAGTAGTATCATCATCATCAGTAGTAGTATCATCATCATCATCATCAGTAGTAGTAGTATCATCATCATCAGTAGTAGTACCATCATCATCAGTAGTAGTACCATCATCATCAGTAGCAGTATCATCATCATCAGTAGTAGTAGTATCATCATCATCAGTAGTAGTACCATCATCATCATCATCAGTAGTAGTAGTATCATCATCAACAGTAGTAGTATCATCACCATCAGTAGTAGTATCATCACCATCAGTAGTAGTATCATCACCATCAGCAGCAGTAGTATCAGCAGCAGTAGTAGTATCATCACCATCAGCAGCAGTAGTATCATCATCAGTAGTATCATCATCAACAGTTGTAGTATCATCACCATCAGTAGTAGTATCATCACCATCAGCAGCAGTAGTATCAGCAGCAGTAGTAGTATCATCATCAACAGTAGTAGTATCATCATCATCATCAGTAGTAACAGTATCATCATCATCAGTAGTATCATCATCATCAACAGTAGTAGTATCATCATCATCAGTAGTAGTATCAGCAGCAGTAGTAGTATCATCATCAGTAGTAGTATCATCATCAGTAGTAGTAGCATCATCATCAGTAGTAGTATCAGCAGCAGTAGTATCATCATCATCAGTAGTAGTATCAGCAGCAGTAGTAGTATCATCATCATCAGTAGTAGTAGTATCATCATCATCATCATCAGTAGTAGTACCATCATCATCATCAGTAGTAGTATCATCATCAGTAGTAGTATCATCATCATTAGTAGTAGTATCATCATCATTAGTAGTAGTATCATCATCATTAGTAGTAGTATCATCATTAGTAGTAGTATCATCATCAGTAGTAGTAGTATCATCATCATTAGTAGTAGTATCATCATTAGTAGTAGTATCATCATTAGTAGTAGTATCATCATCAGTAGTAGTAGTAGTACCATCATCATCAGTAGTAGTATCATCAGTAGTAGTATCATCATCAACAATAGTAGTATCATCATCAGTAGTAGTATCATCAACAATAGTAGTATCATCAGTAGTAGTATCATCAGTAGTAGTATCATCATCAGTAGTAGTAGTATCATCATCAGTAGTAGTAGTATCATCATCATCAGTAGTAGTAGTATCATCATCATCAGTAGTAGTAGTATCATCATCAATAGTAGTGGTATCATCATCAATAGTAGTAGTATCATCATCTTTAGTAGTATCATCATCATCAGTAGTAGCGTCATCATCAGTAGTATCGTCATCATCAATAGCAGTAGTATCATCATCATCATCAGTACGATCATCATCAGTCGTAGTATCATCATCAGTAGTATCATCAACATCAGCTGTTGTGTCATCATCATCATCATCAGCTGTAGCGTCACCATCTTCATCATCATCAGTAGTATCATCATCAGCTGTAACATCATCATCATCATCACCTGTAGCGTCATCATCATCACCTGTAGCGTCATCATCAGCTGTAGCGTCACCATCTTCATCATCATCAGTAGTATCATCATCATCATCAGCTGTAACATCATCATCATCAGCACCATGCCCGGCCGCTACTGGCAACCCCACCCCCTCTGCGTGTCTCCACGCAGCCTTCATAGACGCCAACAGCACTTGCCCCTACAGTCTGCCGAGGCTACACGGGGGACCTTTGTCTGTGTGTGTGGTCCGCGTAGATAGCGGCTCAGATCTGCCGTCAGGGTGGACTGGTGAAGAAGGGTAAGGACGTGATGGATCACAGCAATGATAACTTCGCTATCGTCTTCGCCGCTATGGGGGTACTCACTCACTCATTCACTCACTCACTCACTCGTTAACTCACTCACTCGCTCACTCATTAACTCACTCACTCACTCGTTAACTCACTCATTCACTCATTCACTCACTCGCTCACTCGTTAACTCACTCACTGACTCACTCGTTAACTCACTCACTCGTTAACTCATTCACTCACTCGTTAACTCACTCACTCACTCGTTAACTCACTCACTCACTCACTCGTTAACTCGCTCACTCACTCGTTAACTCACTCACTCATTCACTCACTCACTCGTTAACTCACTCACTCACTCTCTCACTCACACACTCACTCGTTAACTCACTCACTCACTCACTCGTTAACTCACTCACTCACTCGTTAACTCGTTAACTCACTCACTCACTCGCTCACTCACTCACTCACTCGTTAACTCACTCGTTAACTCACTCACTCGTTAACTCACTCACTCGTTAACTCACTCACTCACTCACTCGTTAACTCACTCACTCACTCGTTAACTCACTCACTCGTTAACTCACTCACTCGTTAACTCACTCACTTACTCGTTAACTCACTCACTCACTCGTTAACTCACTTACTCGTTAACTCACTCACTCACTCGTTAACTCACTCACTCGTTAACTCACTCACTCGTTAACTCACTCACTCACTCATTTACTCACTCACTCACTAACTCACTCACTCACTCGTTAACTCACTCATTCACTCGTTAACTCACTCACTCACTCATTAACTCACTCACTCACTCATTCACTCACTCGTTAACTCACTCACTCATTCACTCGTTAACTCACTCACTCACTCGCTCATTCACTCACTCGTTAACTCACTCACTCACTCGTTAACTCACTCACTCATTCACTCACTCGTTAACTCACTCGTTAACTCATTCACTCATTCACTCACTCACTCATTCACTCACTCACCCACTCGTTAACTCACTCACTCGTTAACTCACTCACTCACTCACTCGTTAACGCACTCACTCACTCGTTAACTCACTCACTCACTCACTCGTTAACTCGCTCACTCACTCGTTAACTCACTCACTCATTCACTCACTCACTCGTTAACTCACTCACTCACTATCTCACTCACACACTCACTCGTTAACTCACTCACTCACTCGTTAACTCACTCACTCACTCGTTAACTCGTTAACTCACTCACTCACTCGCTCACTCACTCACTCACTCGTTAACTCACTCGTTAACTCACTCACTCGTTAACTCACTCACTCGTTAACTCACTCACTCACTCACTCGTTAACTCACTCACTCACTCGTTAACTCACTCACTCGTTAACTCACTCACTCGTTAACTCACTCGTTAACTCACTCACTTACTCGTTAACTCACTCACTCACTCGTTAACTCACTTACTCGTTAACTCACTCACTCACTCGTTAACTCACTCACTCGTTAACTCACTCACTCGTTAACTCACTCACTCACTCATTTACTCACTCACTCACTAACTCACTCACTCACTCGTTAACTCACTCATTCACTCGTTAACTCACTCACTCACTCATTAACTCACTCACTCACTCATTCACTCACTCGTTAACTCACTCACTCATTCACTCGTTAACTCACTCACTCACTCGCTCATTCACTCACTCGTTAACTCACTCACTCACTCGTTAACTCACTCACTCATTCACTCACTCGTTAACTCACTCGTTAACTCATTCACTCATTCACTCACTCACTCATTCACTCACTCACTCACTCGTTAACTCACTCACTCGTTAACTCACTCACTCACTCACTCGTTAACGCACTCACTCACTCGTTAACTCACTCACTCACTCGTTAACTCACTCACTGACTCGTTAACTCACTCACTCGTTAACTCACTCACTCGTTAACTCACTCACTCGTTAACTCACTCACTCATTCACTCGTTAACTCACTCACTCACTCGTTAACTCACTCACTCATTCACTGACTCACTCTCTCACTCGTTAACTTACTCACTCGTTAACTCACTCGTTAACTCACTCGCTCACTCACTCACTGACTCACTCACTCACTCGCTCACTCACTCGTTAACTCACTCGCTCACTCACTCGCTCACTTACTCACTCACTCACTCACTGACTCACTCACTCGTTAACTCACTCACTCGCTCACTCACTCGCTCACTCACTCACTCACTCGCTCACTCACTCGTTAACTCACTCACTCCTTAACTCAGTCACTCACTCGTTAACTCACTTACTCGCTTGCTCACTCACTCTCTCACTCACTCGTTCACTCATTCACTCGCTCACTCACTCGTTCACTCATTCACTCGCTCACTCACTCGCTCACTCACTCGCTCACTCACTCTCTCGCTCATTCACTCGCTCGCTCACTCTGTGTGTGTTTGTCTGTGTGTGTCTGTGTATGACTGTGTGTGTGTGTGTCTGTGTGTGTGTCTGTGTGTCTGTGTGACACTGTGTGTGTGTGTCACTGTGTATGTCACTGTGTCTGTGTGTGTGTCTGTGTGTGTGTGACACTGTGTGTGTCACTGTGTGTGTGTGACACTGTGTGTGTCACTGTGTCTGTGTGTGTGTAACACTGTGTGTGTCACTGTGTGTGTGACACTGTCTGTGTGTGTGTCACTGTGTCTGTGTGTAACACTGTGTGTCACTGTGTGTGTGACACTGTATGTGTGTGTGTGTGTCACTGTGTCTGTGTGTTTGTAACACTGTGTGTGACACTGTGTGTGTATGTGTGATACTGTGTTTGACACTGTGTGTGTGTCACTGTGTGTGTGTCACTGTGTGTGTGTGACACTGTGTGTGTGTCTGTGTGTATGTCTGTGTGTATGTGTCACTGTGTGTGTGTGACACTGTGTGTGTGTGACACTGTGTGTGTATGTGTGACACTGTGTGTGTGTGTCACTGTGTGTGTGACACTCTCTGTGTGTGTGTGACACTGTGTGTGTGTCTGTGTGTGTGCGAGGGGCTGGTAACCCCTCCACCTTCAATTAATTACCACGAAACCACGAATTAAACTGAAATATGTAACAACTAAGCTTGTGCCGGAGGCCCCGGGGGGCCAGGCGTCTATGACGTCTCCTGGCCAAACCCCAATTGGCGGAGCCAGGAGATTGAATACCTACCCTCGGGGCTACTCCAGAAACAACGAAAAGCCACTACGGGTGGCCACGTGGAATGTTCGAACGCTCACTGCAGAGGAGAGGCTGCCACTCCTCTGTCGGGAGCTGGACCGGTACCGCCTGGATCTATGCGGCATTCAGGAGGTCCGGTGGACCGGCTCTGGCTCCTGCCACCATGAGGGGTGGACAGTCCTCTACTCGGGGCAGCAGACTGCCAAACAACAGGGTGTGGGTCTTCTTTTGAACAAAAGAATGAAGGGGCGTGGGAGCGTGGCGGTGAGGTGTGGGAAGCTGTAAGCCCCAGGCTACTTTGGGCTCGCCTTCCCATCAACCGGAGGCGAGGAATGGTGGTCGTGGTTACTTATGCCCCCACCGAAGATGAACATCCGTGGAGGGATGCAGGCAAAGCCGATGAGTCAGATGCCTTCTATGACCTCCTGTCACAGGTGCTGGCTAAAGTGGCCCCTCGGGATAGAGTCATCATGTTGGGTGACTTCAATGCCCGAGTTGGTCATGATACTGGCACCTGGTCTGGAGTGATTGGAGGGCATGGGCCAGATCAGCTCAATAACAACGGTAGGAGGCTGCTAGATTGTTGTGCAGCCCATGGGCTTGTAATTACCAACACGCTGTTCCGGCATCGGCGCATCCACACAACATCATGGATGCATGCCGGGTCCAAGCAAGAACATCTGCTGGACTACATAGTGACGGACCAGCGAATGCGAGCCCATGTCCTTGACACCAGGACCTACCGTGGAGCTGATCTGCCCTCTGACCATCGACTAGTCATCTGTAAGATGCGCCTGCCATTCTTCCACTCCGGTGGTGGGTGTACACCCAGGACCCCATTCCAACCTAAAGTGGCCTGGTCTCAGTTATCTGATGAAAGTTGCAAGCGAGAATTTCATCATCGCTTGCGGCTGGGATTGGCATCGTCCCCGACTCCTCCTGATGTCGAGGGTAAATGGGCGAGGTTTAGGACTGTGACTCATGCAGCTGCAATGGCTGCTTTGGGTACGCGGTCCAGACCTCCCCAGACACCCTGGATGACAGAGGAGTTGTTCAGGATGGTTGAGAAAAAGCGACAGGCCCACTGTCATCGGCTACAGAATCCCACGTCAGAGAATGAGGAGGCTTACCGCAGCCTTCGCTCGGAGGTTCGGAGAGCCGTGAGGCGCTGCACGGATGGGTGGTGGTCGCGGGTTGCTGAGGAGATGGAGTCTGCCTCAGTGGCCCGTGATCACAAATCTCTATTTAACTCCATCAAAAAAGTAACCTGCAGCACCACACCTATTACCATCATTAGGGGAAAAACTGGTGATCCAATTTCCGACCCCCAGGAACAGGTTCGCAGATTTGCTGAGCATTTCTGTGAGGTCCTGGGGGAGGGAAAATCCCTCAGCCAGGAAAACACCGTGGCACAAAGTGAGGATGACCCTGCTGAGGCTGCGGTGCCTCAAATATTGGATGAAGTCACCCCAGTGTGAGTGGCTGGCTGAGGTGCCATCTGCTGAGGAAGTATTGAAGGCAATCCGGAGTCTGAGACCAGGAAAGGCAGCGGGCAGAGATGATCTCCCAAGCGAAATGCTGAGGGAGGGTGGCGTTTGTGGACAGACTGCCCTATATGACATCATAACAACAGTCTGGACCACTGGACGGGTTCCGCAGGATTGGAAGGATGCCCTGGTGGTCCCCCTTTTTAAGAAGGGGGACCGCACAAACTGTAACAACTACAGGGGCATCTCACTCCTCAGTGTGCCGGGAAAGGTCCTGGCAAGGATTATTCAGCATCGCCTTGCCAGGCACGCTGAGGAGAGGCTTGCGGAGCCCCAATGCGGTTTCAGGAAAGGGCGGTCCTGCACAGATGCCATATTTTCTGTCCGTCTGCTACAGCAGAGGTGTAGGGAATTCCAACAAGACCTACATCTCTGCTTTATTGACCTGGTCAAGGCCTATGATACCATCAGTAGGCCTGGGCTCTGGGTCGTTCTTCGTGCTTTTGGAGTACCTGACCCTCTGCTCACGATCATTAAGGACCTTCATGATGGTGAGCGGGCCCGGGTAAAACTACGTGGCCGGGAGTCAGAGCCATTCCCTGTACACCTTGGGGTGCGACAGGGATGTCCTCTGGCTCCCACATTATTTAACATCTATTTTGACCACGTAGTTCGTGAAGCCTTCAATAGCTGTACCGGGGGAATCTCCATATGGTACAGATATAATGGGAGGCTAATCGATGCCCGGGTGCGGTCAAGGGATGGCTCCCTATTGCTCAACCACGTTATGTATGCTGATGACTTGGTAATAGCTGCTCAGTCAGAGGAAGAGTTGGAGACGCTGCTGCTGAGACTGGAGCGTGCCACTAAGAGGTGGGGCCTTACCATCAGCCCCACCAAAACTAAGCACCTGCCTGGATATTTTGTACCATCGGACACTCCACCCCCACAACTCCCAATCGGTGATGGGGCAGTTGTGGAGAGAGTGGAGAGTTTCCCATACCTGGGCAGTGTGCTTATGACTGGCTCCAGTTTAACAGCAGAGGTCTCACTCCGAATCAGTCGAGCGGCAATATCTTTTCATCGGTTGCGTAACGCTGTGTGGAAGCTACCTGGTCTGTCGCTCCGCACTAAGCTTCAGGTCTTCTCGGCCACGGTCATTCCCTCCCTTCTCTACGCTTGCAAAACGTGGACCCCCCTAATGGAACATCTTCGCCGGTTAGAAACATTTAGGCTGGCCTGCCTACGATCCATCCTGGGTTTAACCAGACTGGATTGTGTGAGGAGCTCACAAATCCTTGAAAGATCTGGGCAGGGTCCCATCGGTGAGCTCCTCCGGCAGGCAAGGCTGCGATGGCTGGGTCATGTAGCCCGCATGCCCAGCCACCGCATGCCGAAACAGCTTTTGTTTGGCCGGATTGAGGGGGCTAAGCGGGCGCGGCACGGGCTAGAGAAGAGATGGAGTGATGTGGTACAGGAGGACGTGGAGCTGAGTGGACTTGCCGATGACTGGTACCAGCGGTGTCAAGATCGGCCTCTGTGGAGGAGGCTCGTGAAGGATGCTACTGGGCAGTTGGAGGCAGTCGCCCTCCAACAACAACGGAGGGCGGAGGAGCGACGCTCACAACAGCGAGCGGAGCGCCGGGTGGCTAAAGCACAGCAGGTTGGCACAGTAGGGGGCACAGGTGGTGCATCAGCCAGTCATCTCAGTCAGTCGACCCGTGGCACCTGGGTCTGCCCCGTGACCACCTGCCAGCGGGCGTTCGACACTTCACGTGGCCTCAGGGTGCACATAGCCTGGCACAAGCGTCGTGGTGATGTCACCGCCACTTAGTGGCGAATGGCGGTTGTTGTTGTTGTTGTGTCTGTGTGTATGTGTCACTGTGTGTGTGTGTCACTGTGTATGTTTGTGTGTGTCTGTGTGTGTGTGTGTGTCACTGTGTCTGTGTGTGTGACTGTGTGTCTGTGTGTGTGTGACACTGTATGTCACTGTGTGTGTGTGACACTGTGTGTGTGACACTGTGTGTGTGACTGTGTGTGTAAGTATGTAAGTGTGTGTGTCACTGTGTGTGTGTGTCTGTGTGTGTGTGACACTGTGTGTGTGTGACTGTGTGTGTGACTGTGTGTGTAAGTGTGTATGTATGTGTGTGACACTGTGTGTGTAAGTGTATGACACTGTGTGTGACACTGTGTGTGTGACTGTGTGTGACACTGTGTGTGTGACTGTGTGTGTGTGTATGTGTGTGTGTGACACTGTGTGTGACACTGTGTGTGTGACTGTGTGTGTGACTGTGTGTGTGTGTGTATGTGTGTGTGTGACACTGTGTGTGACTGTGTGTGTGTGTGTATGTGTGTGTGTGACACTGTGTGTGACTGTGTGTGTGTGTGTATGTGTGTGTGTGACACTGTGTGTGTAAGTGTGTAAGTGTATGACAATGTGTGTGTGACACTGTGTGTGTGACTGTGTGTGACACTGTGTGTGTGACTGTGTGTGTGTATGTGTGTGTGTGACACTGTGTGTGTGACACTGTGTGTGTGTGTGACACTGTGTGTAAGTGTGTAAGTGTATGACACTGTGTGTGACACTGTGTGTGTGTGTAAGTGTGTAAGTGTATGTGTGTGTGATACTGTGTGTGACACTGTGTGTATGTGTGTGTGTGTGACACTGTGTGTGTAAGTGTGTATGTGTGTGTGTGACACTGTGTGTGTAAGTGTGTAAGTGTGTGTAAGTGTGTATGTGTGTTTGTGACACTGTGTGTGTAAGTGTGTATGTGTGTGTGTGACACTGTGTAAGTGTGTGTGTGTAACACTGTGTGTGTAAGTGTGTATGTGTGTTTGTGACACTGTGTGTGTAAGTGTGTATGTGTGTTTGTGACACTGTGTGTAAGTGTGTGTGTGTAAGTGTGTATGTGTGTGTGATACTGTGTGTGTAAGTGTGTATGTGTGTGTGACTGTGTGTACACTGTGTGTACACTGTGTGTAAGTGTGTAACACTGTGTGTGTGTGTACACTGTGTGTGTAAGTGTGTAAGTGTGTGTCACTGTGTGTGTAAGTGTGTCACTGTGTGTGACACTGTGTGTGACACTGTGTGTGTGTACACTGTGTGTGTAAGTGTATGTGTGTGTGATACTGTGTGACACTGTGTGTGACACTGTGTGTGACACTGTGTGTGACACTGTGTGTGTGTGACACTGTGTGTGACACTGTGTAAGTGTGTCACTGTGTGTGTCACTGTGTGTGTCACTGTGTGTGACACTGTGTGTAAGTGTGTGTAAGTGTGTGACACTGTGTGTGTGTACACTGTGTGTGTAAGTGTATGTGTGTGTGACACTGTGTGTGACACTGTGTGTGTCACTGTGTGTGACACTGTGTGTAGGTGTGTGTATGTGTGTGTGTGTGTCACTGTGTGTCACTGTGTGTGACACTGTGTGTAAGTGTGTAAGTGTGTGTAAGTGTGTGTAAGTGTATGTAAGTGTGTGTGTCACTGTGTGTGTAGGTGTGTGTGTAGGTGACACTGTGTAAGTGTGTGTGTGTACACTGTGTGTAGGTGACACTGTGTAAGTGTGTGTGAGACACTGTGTAAGTGTGTGTGTGTGTCACTGTGTGTAGGTGTGTGTAGGTGTGTGTAAGTGTATGTGTGTGTGACACTGTGTGTAGGTGTGTAAGTGTGTAAGTGTATGTGTGTGTGTGTGTCACTGTGTAGGTGAACATGGAGACTGCACGCTTCTTCAAGTCGGACTTTGAGGAGAACGGTTCCATGGACAACGTCTGTCTCTTCCTCAACCTCGCCAACGACCCCACGTACACACACACACTACTTAAACACACACTACTTAGACACAGACACACACACAGACAACGTCTGTCTCTTCCTCAACCTGGCCAACGATCCCACGTATAGACACACACACACACTACTTAGACACACACACAGACAACGTCTGTCTCTTCCTCAACCTCGCCAACGATCCCACGTATAGACACACACACACACTACTTAGACACACACACACAGACACACAGACACACACACAGACAACGTCTGTCTCTTCCTCAACCTCGCCAACGATCCCACGTAGATACACACACACAGACACACACTACTTAGACACACACACAGTGACACACACAGTGACACACACAGTGACACACACACACAGACACACACACACAGACACTAGACAACGTCTGTCTCTTCCTCAACCTGGCCAACGATCCCACGTATAGACACACACACACACTACTTAGACACACACAGACAGACACACACAGACAACGTCTGTCTCTTCCTCAACCTCGCCAACGATCCCACGTAGATACACAATACTTAGACACACAGTGACACACACACAGTGACACACACACACAGACACACACACTACTTAGACACACACACAGTGACACACACACAGTGACACACACACACAGACACACACTACTTAGACACACACACAGTGACACACACACAGTGACACACACACAGACAACGTCTGTCTCTTCCTCAACCTCGCCAACGATCCCACGTACAGACACAACAACAACAACAACAACCGCCATTCGCCACTAAGTGGCGGTGACGTCACCACGACGCTTGTGCCAGGCTATGTGCACCCTGAGGCCACGTGAAGTGTCGAACGCCCGCTGGCAGGTGGTCACGGGGCAGACCCAGGTGCCACGGGTCGACTGACTGAGATGACTGGCTGATGCACCACCTGTGCCCCCTACTGTGCCAACCTGCTGTGCTTTAGCCACCCGGCGCTCCGCTCGCTGTTGTGAGCGTCGCTCCTCCGCCCTCCGTTGTTGTTGGAGGGCGACTGCCTCCAACTGCCCAGTAGCATCCTTCACGAGCCTCCTCCACAGAGGCCGATCTTGACACCGCTGGTACCAGTCATCGGCAAGTCCACTCAGCTCCACGTCCTCCTGTACCACATCACTCCATCTCTTCTCTAGCCCGTGCCGCGCCCGCTTAGCCCCCTCAATCCGGCCAAACAAAAGCTGTTTCGGCATGCGGTGGCTGGGCATGCGGGCTACATGACCCAGCCATCGCAGCCTTGCCTGCCGGAGGAGCTCACCGATGGGACCCTGCCCAGATCTTTCAAGGATTTGTGAGCTCCTCACACAATCCAGTCTGGTTAAACCCAGGATGGATCGTAGGCAGGCCAGCCTAAATGTTTCTAACCGGCGAAGATGTTCCATTAGGGGGGTCCACGTTTTGCAAGCGTAGAGAAGGGAGGGAATGACCGTGGCCGAGAAGACCTGAAGCTTAGTGCGGAGCGACAGACCAGGTAGCTTCCACACAGCGTTACGCAACCGATGAAAAGATATTGCCGCTCGACTGATTCGGAGTGAGACCTCTGCTGTTAAACTGGAGCCAGTCATAAGCACACTGCCCAGGTATGGGAAACTCTCCACTCTCTCCACAACTGCCCCATCACCGATTGGGAGTTGTGGGGGTGGAGTGTCCGATGGTACAAAATACCCAGGCAGGTGCTTAGTTTTGGTGGGGCTGATGGTAAGGCCCCACCTCTTAGTGGCACGCTCCAGTCTCAGCAGCAGCGTCTCCAACTCCTCCTCTGAATGAGCAGCTATTACCAAATCATCGGCATACATAACGTGGTTGAGCAATTGGGAGCCATCCCTTGACCGCACCCGGGCATCGATCAGCCTCCCATTGTATCTGTACCAGATGTAAATTTCTCCGGTACAGCTATTGAAGGCCTCACGAACTACGTGGTCAAAATAGATGTTAAATAATGTGGGAGCCAGAGGACATCCCTGTCGTACCCCAAGGTGTACAGGGAATGGCTCTGACTTCCGGCCCCGTAGTTTTACCCGGGCCCGCTCACCATCATGAAGGTCCTTAATGATCGTAAGCAGAGGGTCAGGTACTCCAAAAGCACGAAGAACGACCCAGAGCCCAGGCCTACTGATGGTATCATAGGCCTTGACCAGGTCAATAAAGCAGAGATGTAGGTCTTGTTGGAATTCCCTATACCTCTGCTGTAGCAGACGGACAGAAAATATGGCATCTGTGCAGGACCGCCCTTTCCTGAAACCGCATTGGGGCTCCGCAAGCCTCTCCTCAGCGTGCCTGGCAAGGCGATGCTGAATAATCCTTGCCAGGACCTTTCCCGGCACACTGAGGAGTGAGATGCCCCTGTAGTTGTTAAAGTCTGTGCAGTCCCCCTTCTTAAAGAGAGACACACACCCACACAGACACGTGTGTGTCTGTGTGGGTGTCTTGTGTGTGTCTGTGTGTGTATATCTGTATCTGTGTGCGTGTATCTGTGTGTGTGTATCTGTGTGTGTGTCTGTGTGCGTGTATCTGTGTGTGTGTATCTGTGCGCGTGTGTCTGCATGTGTGTCTGCGTGTATGTGTATCTGTGTGTGTGTGTGTCTGTGTGTGTATCTGTGTGTGTGTGTCTGTGTGTGTCTGTGTGTGTGTGTCTGTGTGTCTGTGTCTGCGTGTGTGTGTCTGCGTGTGTGTGTGTCTGCGTGTGTGTGTGTCTGCGTGGGTGTGTGTCTGCGCGTGTGTGTCTGCGCGTGTCTGTGTATCTGCGTGTGTGTATCTGTGTGTATCTGTGTCTCTGTGTGTATCTGTGTATGTCTGTGTGTGTGTGTGTGTCTGTGTATATCTGTGTGTATCTGTGTCTCTGTGTGTCTGTGTGTGTGTCTGTGTGTGTATCTGTGTGTGTGTGTCTGTGTGCGTGTGCAGCATTGAGCGTATCATCACTCCGCGCCTGGCGCTCACAGCTGCCGAGTTCCTTGCCTACCAGTGCGAGAAGCACGTCCTGGTCATACTCACCGACATGAGCTCCTATGCAGAGGCACTCCGCGAGGTACACACGCACTCACATACACACATACACTCATACACACACATACATACACTCATACACACATACATACACATACACACATACATACACTCACACATGCACTCACATACACCCACACACGCACTCACATACACACATACACTCACATACACTCACACACATACACACATACACTCACACACACTCACACACATACACATACATACACTCATACACACATACATACACATACATACACACATACACTCATACACACTCACACACACACTCATACACTCACATACATACACACACTCATACACAGACACACACACACCCACACAGTGACACACGCACACATACACACACACTCACATACACATACATACACTCATACACACATACATACACATACACAGATACATACACTCACACATACACTCACACATACACTCACACACACCCACACACGCACACACATACACACATACACTCACATACACTCACAACAACAACACCAACAACAACCGCTATTCGCCACTAAGTGGCGGTGACGTCAACACGACGCTTGTGCCAGGCTATGTGCACCCTGAGGCCACGTGAAGTGTCGAACGCCCGCTGGCAGGAGGTCACGGGGCAGACCCAGGTGCCACGGGTCGACTGACTGAGACGACTGGCTGATGCACTACCTGTGCCCCCTACTTTGCCAACCTGCTGTGCTTTAGCCACCCGGGGCTCCGCTCGTTGTTGTGAGCGTCGCTCCTCCGCCCTCCGTTGTTGTTGGAGGGCGACTGCCTCCAACTGCCCAGTAGCGTCCTTCACGAGCCTCCTCCACAGAGGCCGATCTTGACACCGCTGGTACCAGTCATCGGCAAGTCCACTCAGCTCCACGTCCTCCTGTACCACATCACTCCATCTCTTCTCTAGCCCGTGCCGCGCCCGCTTAGCCCCCTCAATCCGGCCAAACAAAAGCTGTTTCGGCATGCGGTGGCTGGGCATGCGGGCTACATGACCCAGCCATCGCAGCCTTGCCTGCCGGAGGAGCTCACCGATGGGACCCTGCCCAGATCTTTCAAGGATTTGTGAGCTCCTCACACAATCCAGTCTGGTTAAACCCAGGATGGATCGTAGGCATTCTGACACACACACATACTCACACACACACACATTCTCACACACACACACACATTCTCACACACACACACACATTCTCACACACATATACTCACCCACACACATTCTCACACACACACATTCTCACACACATATACTCACCCACACACACATTCTCACACACACACACATTCTCACACACACACATTCTCACACACATATACTCACCCACACACACATTCTCACACACACACACATTCTCACACACATATACTCACCCACACACACATTCTCACACACACACACACACATTCTCACACACATATACTCACCCACACACACATTCTCACACACACACACACATTCTCACACACATATACTCACCCACACACACATTCTCACACACACACACATTCTCACACACACACATTCTCACACACATATACTCACCCACACACACATTCTCACACACACACACATTCTCACACACATATACTCACCCACACACACATTCTCACACACACACACATTCTCACACACATATACTCACCCACACACACATTCTCACACACACACACATTCTCACACACATATACTCACCCACACACACATTCTCACACACACACACATTCTCACACACATATACTCACCCACACACACATTCTCACACACACACACATTCTCACACACACACACCCCACCCACCCTACCCCACCCCCACCCACTCACCCCACTCACCGTGTATGTGTCACTGTGTGTGTGTCTGTGTTGCTGTGTGTGTCACTGTGTGTGTGTCACTGTGTGTGTCACTGTGTGTGTGTGTGTTACTATGTGTGTGTCACCGTGTGTGTGTCACTGTGTGTCACTGTGTGTGTGTGTCACTGTATGTGTGTGTGTCACTGTGTGTGTCACTGTGTGTGTGTCTCTGTGTGTGTGGCTGTGTGTCACCGTGTGTGTACACTGTGTGTGTGTGTCACTGTGTGTGTGTCACTGTGTGTGTGTGTGTCACTGTGTGTGGTGTCACTGTGTGTGTCACCGTGTGTGTGTCTTTGTGTGTGTGTCACTGTGTGTGTGTGTCACTGTGTGTGTGTGTCACTGTGTGTATGTGTCACTGTGTGTATGTGTCACTGTGTGTGGGGAGCGGTAGTGTAGTGGTTAGCGCTACGCTGCGCTATGAACCTGGCGACCCGGGTTCGATTCCCGCCCACGGCCAACACCGTCGGTGACGATTATCTGAACCGGTCCCGGGCCTCCCCTAGGTCGACTCAGCCTCAAATGAGTACCTGATGCGGTGTGTAAACATCGCCACTGGGGAGACAAAGGCGGTCGGGCGTGGTGCTGGCCACCCACCCCCTCGTGTACCGTTCCGGCCTTCATAGGTGCTCGCTAACAGCACTTGCCCCTACAGTCTGTTAAGGCTATATAGGGGGATCTTTGTCTTTGTACACTGTGTGTGTGTGTATGTACACTGTGTGTGTGTGTGTACACTGTGTGTGTACACTGTGTGTGTCACTGTGTGTGTGTGTACACTGTGTGTCACTGTGTGTGTCACTGTGTGTGTCACTGTGTGTGTGTGTACACTGTGTGTGTGTGTACACTGTGTGTGTGTGTCACTGTGTGTGTGTGTACACTGTGTGTGTGTGTACACTGTGTGTGTGTACACTGTGTGTGTGTGTACACTGTGTGTGTGTACACTGTGTGTGTGTCACTGTGTGTGTGTGTGTCACTGTGTGTGTGTACACAACGAAAAGCCACTACGGGTGGCCACGTGGAATGTTCGAACGCTCACTGCAGAGGAGAGGCTGCCACTCCTCTGTCGGGAGCTGGACCGGTACCGCCTGGATCTATGCGGCATTCAGGAGGCCCGGTGGACCGGCTCTGGCTCCTGCCACCATGAGGGGTGGACAGTCCTCTACTCGGGGCAGCAGACTGCCAAACAACAGGGTGTGGGTCTTCTTTTGAACAAAAGAATGAAGGGGGCGTGGGAGCGTGGCGGTGAGGTGTGGGAAGCTGTAAGCCCCAGGCTACTTTGGGCTCGCCTTCCCATCAACCGGAGGCGAGGAATGGTGGTCGTGGTTACTTATGCCCCCACCGAAGATGAACATCCGTGGAGGGATGCAGGCAAAGCCGATGAGTCAGATGCCTTCTATGACCTCCTGTCACAGGTGCTGGCTAAAGTGGCCCCTCGGGATAGAGTCATCATGTTGGGTGACTTCAATGCCCGAGTTGGTCATGATACTGGCACCTGGTCTGGAGTGATTGGAGGGCATGGGCCAGATCAGCTCAATAACAATGGTAGGAGGCTGCTAGATTTTTGTGCAGCCCATGGGCTTGTAATTACCAACACGCTGTTCCGGCATCGGCGCATCCACACAACATCATGGATGCATGCCGGGTCCAAGCAAGAACATCTGCTGGACTACATAGTGACGGACCAGCGAATGCGAGCCCATGTCCTTGACACCAGGACCTACCGTGGAGCTGATCTGCCCTCTGACCATCGACTAGTCATCTGTAAGATGCGCCTGCCATTCTTCCACTCCGGTGGTGGGTGTACACCCAGGACCCCATTCCAACCTAAAGTGGCCTGGTCTCAGTTATCTGATGAAAGTTGCAAGCGAGAATTTCATCATCGCTTGCGGCTGGGATTGGCATCGTCCCCGACTCCTCCTGATGTCGAGGGTAAATGGGCGAGGTTTAGGACTGTGACTCATGCAGCTGCAATGGCTGCTTTGGGTACGCGGTCCAGACCTCCTCAGACACCCTGGATGACAGAGGAGTTGTTCAGGATGGTTGAGAAAAAGCGACAGGCCCACTGTCATCGGCTACAGAATCCCACGTCAGAGAATGAGGAGGCTTACCGCAGCCTTCGCTCGGAGGTTCGGAGAGCCGTGAGGCGCTGCAAGGATGGGTGGTGGTCGCGGGTTGCTGAGGAGATGGAGTCTGCCTCAGTGGCCCGTGATCACAAATCGCTATTTAACTCCATCAAAAAAGTAACCTGCAGCGCCACACCTATTACCATCATTAGGGGAAAAAACGGTGATCCAATTTCCGACCCCCAGGAACAGGTTCGCAGATTTGCTGAGCATTTCTGTGAGGTCCTGGGGGAGGGAAAATCCCACAGCCAGGAAAACATCGTGGCACAAAGTGAGGATGACCCTGCTGAGGCTGCGGTGCCTCAAATATTGGATGAAGTCACCCCCTGTGAGTGGCTGGCTGAGGTGCCATCTGCTGAGGAAGTATTGAAGGCGATCCGGAGTCTGAGACCAGGAAAGGCAGCGGGCAGAGATGATCTCCCAAGCGAAATGCTGAGGGAGGGTGGCGTTTGTGCACAGACTGCCCTATATGACATCATAACAACAGTCTGGACCACTGGACGGGTTCCGCAGGATTGGAAGGATGCCCTGGTGGTCCCCCTTTTTAAGAAGGGGGACCGCACAGACTGTAACAACTACAGGGGCATCTCACTCCTCAGTGTGCCGGGAAAGGTCCTGGCAAGGATTATTCAGCATCGCCTTGCCAGGCACGCTGAGGAGAGGCTTGCGGAGCCCCAATGCGGTTTCAGGAAAGGGCGGTCCTGCACAGATGCCATATTTTCTGTCCGTCTGCTACAGCAGAGGTGTAGGGAATTCCAACAAGACCTACATCTCTGCTTTATTGACCTGGTCAAGGCCTATGATACCATCAGTAGGCCTGGGCTCTGGGTCGTTCTTCGTGCTTTTGGAGTACCTGACCCTCTGCTCACGATCATTAAGGACCTTCATGATGGTGAGCGGGCCCGGGTAAAACTACGTGGCCGGGAGTCAGAGCCATTCCCTGTACACCTTGGGGTGCGACAGGGATGTCCTCTGGCTCCCACATTATTTAACATCTATTTTGACCACGTAGTTCGTGAAGCCTTCAATAGCTGTACCGGGGGAATCTCCATATGGTACAGATATAATGGGAGGCTAATCGATGCCCGGGTGCGGTCAAGGGATGGCTCTCTATTGCTCAACCACGTTATGTATGCTGATGACTTGGTAATAGCTGCTCAGTCAGAGGAGGAGTTGCAGACGCTGCTGCTGAGACTGGAGCGTGCCACTAAGAGGTGGGGCCTTACCATCAGCCCCACCAAAACTAAGCACCTGCCTGGGTATTTTGTACCATCGGACACTCCACCCCCACAACTCCCAATCGGTGATGGGGCAGTTGTGGAGAGAGTGGAGAGTTTCCCATACCTGGGCAGTGTGCTTATGACTGGCTCCAGTTTAACAGCAGAGGTCTCACTCCGAATCAGTCGAGCGGCAATATCTTTTCATCGGTTGCGTAACGCTGTGTGGAAGCTACCTGGTCTGTCGCTCCGCACTAAGCTTCAGGTCTTCTCGGCCACGGTCATTCCCTCCCTTCTCTACGCTTGCGAAACGTGGACCCCCCTTATGGAACATCTTCGCCGGTTAGAAACATTTAGGCTGACCTGCCTACGATCCATCCTGGGTTTAACCAGACTGGATTGTGTGAGGAGCTCACAAATCCTTGAAAGATCTGGGCAGGGTCCCATCGGTGAGCTCCTCCGGCAGGCAAGGCTGCGATGGCTGGGTCATGTAGCCCGCATGCCCAGCCACCGCATGCCGAAACAGCTTTTGTTTGGCCGGATTGAGGGGGCTAAGCGGGCGCGGCACGGGCTAGAGAAGAGATGGAGTGATGTGGTACAGGAGGACGTGGAGCTGAGTGGACTTGCCGATGACTGGTACCAGCGGTGTCAAGATCGGCCTCTGTGGAGGAGGCTCGTGAAGGATGCTACTGGGCAGTTGGAGGCAGTCGCCCTCCAACAACAACGGAGGGCGGAGGAGCGACGCTCACAACAGCGAGCGGAGCGCCGGGTGGCTAAAGCACAGCAGGTTGGCACAGTAGGGGGCACAGGTGGTGCATCAGCCAGTCATCTCAGTCATCTCAGTCAGTCGACCCGTGGCACCTGGGTCTGCCCCGTGACCTCCTGCCAGCGGGCGTTCGACACTTCACGTGGCCTCAGGGTGCACATAGCCTGGCACAAGCGTCGTGGTGACGTCACCGCCACTTAGTGGCGAATGGCGGTTGTTGTTGTTGTACACTGTGTGTGTGTACACTGTGTGTGTGTCACTGTGTGTGTGTCACTGTGTGTGTGTGTGTCACTGTGTGTGTGTGTGTGTACACTGTGTGTGTGTGTACACTGTGTGTGTGTGTGTACACTGTGTGTGTGTGTACACTGTGTGTGTGTGTACACTGTGTGTGTGTCACTGTGTGTGTGTACACTGTGTGTGTGTCACTGTGTGTGTGTGTACACTGTGTGTGTGTACACTGTGTGTGTACACTGTGTGTGTGTACACTGTGTACACTGTGTGTACACTGTGTGTGTGTACACTGTGTGTGTACACTGTGTGTGTGTACACTGTGTGTGTGTCACTGTGTGTGTGTCACTGTGTGTGTGTGTCACCGTGTGTGTGTGTGTGCTGTGCAGGTTTCTGCTGCACGTGAGGAGGTCCCTGGCCGTCGTGGTTTCCCGGGCTACATGTACACAGACCTGGCCACCATCTACGAGCGGGCCGGCAGGGTGGAGGGCCGGGGAGGCTCCATCACCCAGATCCCCATCCTCACCATGCCCAACGATGGTGAGCAGCCCTCCACTCGCCCGCTCGCTCACTCACCCACCCACTCACTCACACACCCACCCACTCACCCACTCACACACTCACCCACTCACACACTCACCCACTCACCCACCCACTCACTCACCCACTCACACACTCACCCACTCACACACTCACCCACTCACCCACCCACTCACCCACCCACTCACTCGTTCACTCACCCACTCACTCACCCACCCACTCACCCACCCACTCACTCGTTCACTCACCCACTCACTCACCCACCCACTCACACACCCACTCACTCGTTCACTCACCCACTCACTCACACACCCACTCACTCACCCACCCACTCACCCACCCACTCACTCGTTCACTCACCCACTCACTCACCCACCCACTCACCCACCCACTCACTCGTTCACTCACCCACTCACTCACCCACTCACTCACCCACCCACTCACTCGTTCACCCACCCGCTCGCTCACTCACCCACTCACTCACCCACTCACTCACACACCCACCCACTCACTCGCTCACCCACCCACCCACTCACTCACTCACCCCCCCACCTACCCACCCACCTACCCACCCACTCACCCCCCCACCTACCCACCCACCTACCCACCCTCTCACCCCCCCACCTACCCACCCACCCTCCCCCCATGCTCTAGACATCACCCACCCCATCCCGGACCTGACTGGCTACATCACTGAGGGTCAAATCTACGTGGACCGTCAACTACACAATCGCCAGGTGGGTGGGGGGGTGAGTGGGTGGGGTGGGTGGGGGGGGTGAGTGGGTGGGTGGGTGGGTGGGTGGGGGGGTGAGTGGGTCGGTGGGTGGGTGGGTGGGGGGGTGGGTGAGTGGGTGAGTGAGTGGGTGGGTGAGTGGGTGGGTGAGTGGGTGGGGGGGGGTGAGTGGGTGGGGGAGGGGTGAGTGGGGGGATGAGTGGGTGGGTGAGTGGGTGGGTGAGTGGGTGGGTGGGGGGTGAGTGGGTGAGTGGGGGGTGAGTGGTTGGGGGGGTAAGTGTGTCTGTGTGTGTGTCTGTGTGTCTGTGTGTGTGTCTCTGATTGTGTGTGTGTCTGTGTGTGTGTCTGTGTGTGTGTGTCTGTGTGTCTGTGTGTGTGTCTGTGTGTGTGTGTCTGTGTGTGTGACTGTGTGTGTGTCTGTCTGTGTGTGTGTGTCTGTCTGTGTGTGTGTGTCTGTCTGTGTGATTGTGTGTGTGTCTGTGTGTGTGTGTGTGTCTGTCTGTGTGATTGTGTGTGTGTCTGTGTGTGATTGTGTGTATGTATGTTACATATTTAATTCGCGGTTTCGTGGTAATTAATTGAAGGTGGAGGGGTTACCAGCCCCTCGCACCCATCCAGAGCCCCCGTTTAGCCCCTGTGGTGGACACAGACGCCATGAGGGGAGGAGCCAATCAAAATTGGACCTCCCCCCACAGCACTGTCCACGACAGAGTTGCCCGTCCGGCACCGCGAGGAGCTAGGGGGTTGTTTTGGCCTCAAGGTGCACATGGCCTGGCACAAGCGTCGTGGTGACGTCACAGCCACTTAGTGGCGAATGGCGGTTGTTGTTGTTGTGTGTGTGTGTCTGTGTGTGTGTGTCTGTGTGTGACTGTGTGTGTGTGTGACTGTGTGTGTGTGTGTCTGTGTGTGTGTACACTGTGTGTATGTGTGTCACACTGTGTGTGTGTGTCACACTGTGTGTGTGTCACACTGTGTGTCACACTGTGTGTCACACTGTGTGTGTGTGTGTGTCACACTGTGTGTGTGTGTGTAACTGTTTGTGTGACACTTTGTGTGACACTGTGTGTCACACTGTGTGTGTACACTGTGTGTGTACACTGTGTGTGTGTGACACTGTGTGTGACACTGTGTGTGTGTACACTGTGTGACACTGTATGTGTGTGACACTGTGTGTGACACTGTGTAAGTGTGTCACACTGTGTAAGTGTGACACTGTGTGTGTAAGTGTGACACTGTGTGTGTGACACTGTGTGTGTGACACTGTGTGTAAGTGTGACACTGTGTGTGTGACACTGTGTGTGTGACACTGTGTGTGAGTGTGACACTGTGTGTGTACACTGTGTGTGTGTCACACTGTGTAAGTGTGTGACACTGTGTAAGTGTGTGACACTGTGTGTGTGTGTCACACTGTGTAAGTGTGTGACACTGTGTGTGTGTCACACTGTGTAAGTGTGTGACACTGTGTGTGTGTCACACTGTGTGTGACACTGTGTAAGTGTGACACTGTGTGTGTGTGACACTGTGTGTGTGTGACACTGTGTGTGAGTGTGACACTGTGTGTGACGCTGTGTGTGACACTGTGTAAGTGTGACACTGTGTGTGTAAGTGTGTCACTGTGTGTGTGACACTGTGTGTGTAAGTGTGACACTGTGTGTGTGTGACACTGTGTGTGTGTACACTGTGTGTGTAAGTGTGTGACACTGTGTAAGTGTGACACTGTGTGTGTGTGACACTGTGTGTGTGTACACTGTGTAAGTGTGTGACACTGTGTGTGTGTGACACTGTGTGTGTGTGACACTGTGTGTGTGTGACACTGTGTGTGTACACTGTGTGTGTGTCACACTGTGTGTGTGTCTGTGTGTACACTGTGTCTGTGTGTACACTGTGTGTGTGTGACACTGTGTGTGTGTGTGACACTGTGTGTGTACACTGTGTGTGTGTCACACTGTGTAAGTGTGTGACACTGTGTGTGTGTGTCACACTGTGTAAGTGTGTGACACTGTGTGTGTGTGTCACACTGTGTAAGTGTGTGACACTGTGTGTGTGTCACACTGTGTAAGTGTGTGACACTGTGTGTGTGTCACACTGTGTGTGACACTGTGTAAGTGTGACACTGTGTGTGTGTGACACTGTGTGTGTGACACTGTGTGTGTGTGACACTGTGTGTGTGTGTACACTGTATGTGTGTGCGACACTGTGTGTAACACTGTGTGTGTGTGACACTGTGTGTGTGTGACACTGTGTGTGTGTGACACTGTGTCTGTTTGTGTGTGTCTGTGTGTGTGTGTCACTGTGTCTGTGTGTGTGACACTGTGTCTGTTTGTGTGTGTCTGTGTGTGTGTGTCACTGTGTGTGTGTGACACTGTATGTCACTGTGTGTGTGTGTGACACTGTGTGTGTGACACTGTGTGTGTGTGACACTGTGTGTGTGTGACACTGTGTGTGTGACACTGTGTGTGTGTGACACTGTGTGTGTGACACTGTGTGTGTGACACTGTGTGTGTGTGTCACTGTGTGTGTGTGACACTGTGTGTGTGTGTCACTGTGTGTGTGACACTGTGTATGTGTGACACTGTGTGTGTGAGACACTGTGTGTGAGACACTGTGTGTGTGTGACACTGTGTGTGTGACACTGTGTGTGTGTCACTGTGTGTGTGTGACACTGTGTGTGTGTGTGTGTCACTGTGTGTATGACACTGTGTGTGTAAGTGTGACACTGTGTGTCACACTTACACACACTGTAGGGGTCAAACACACACTGTGTGTTTGACCCCTACAGATCTACCCCCCTATCAACGTGTGTAAGTGTGTGACACTGTGTGTGTGACACTGTGTGTGTGTGTACACTGTGTGTGTGTACACTGTGTGTGTACACTGTGTGTGTGACACTGTGTGTGTGACACTGTGTGTGTGTAAGTGTGTGACACTGTGTGTGTACACTGTGTGTAAGTGTGTACACTGTGTGTGTGTGTGTGTCACTGTGTGTGTAAGTGTGTGACACTGTGTGTGTGACACTGTGTGTGTGACACTGTGTGTGTGACACTGTGTGTGTGACACTGTGTGTGTGACACTGTGTGTGTACACTGTGTGTGTAACACTATGTGTGTGACACTGTGTGTGTGTACACTGTGTGTGTGTGTACACTGTGTGTGACACTGTGTGTGTGTGTGTGACCCCTACAGATCTACCCCCCTATCAACGTGTGTAAGTGTGTGACACTGTGTGTGTGACACTGTGTGACACTGTGTGTAAGTGTGTCACTGTGTGTGTGACACTGTGTGTGTACACTGTGTGTGTGTGTGTCACTGTGTGTGTGTCACTGTGTGTGACACTGTGTGTGACACTGTGTGTGTCACTGTGTGTGTCACTGTGTGTGTGTGACAATGTGTGTGACACTGTGTGTAAGTGTGTGTCACACTGTGTGTACACTGTGTAAGTGTGTGTGTAAGTGTGTACACAGTGTACACACACACTGTGTGTGTGTGTGTACACTGTGTGTGTGTGACACTGTGTGTGTGTGTACACTGTGTGTGTGTCACTGTGTGTGTGTGTACACTGTGTAAGTGTGACACTGTGTGTGTGTGTACACTGTGTGTGTGTACACTGTGTGTGTGTGACACTGTGTGTGTGTGACACTGTGTGTGTGTGTGTCACTGTGTGTGTGTGTACACTGTGTAAGTGTGACACTGTGTGTGTGTGACACTGTGTGTGTGTCACTGTGTGTGTGTGTGTACACTGTGTAAGTGTGACACTGTGTGTGTACACTGTGTAAGTGTGACACTGTGTGTGTGTGACACTGTGTGTGTGTGTACACTGTGTGTGTGTACACTGTGTGTGTGTGTACACTGTGTGTGTGTGTACACTGTGTAAGTGTGACACTGTGTGTGTGTGACACTGTGTGTGTGTGTGTACACTGTGTAAGTGTGTACACTGTGTGTGTGTCACTGTGTGTGTGTGACAATGTGTGTGACACTGTGTGTAAGTGTGTGTCACACTGTGTGTACACTGTGTAAGTGTGTGTGTAAGTGTGTACACAGTGTACACACACACTGTGTGTGTGTGTGTACACTGTGTGTGTGTGACACTGTGTGTGTGTGTACACTGTGTGTGTGTCACTGTGTGTGTGTGTACACTGTGTAAGTGTGACACTGTGTGTGTGTGTACACTGTGTGTGTGTGTACACTGTGTGTGTGTGACACTGTGTGTGTGTGACACTGTGTGTGTGTGTGTCACTGTGTGTGTGTGTACACTGTGTAAGTGTGACACTGTGTGTGTGTGACACTGTGTGTGTGTCACTGTGTGTGTGTGTGTACACTGTGTAAGTGTGACACTGTGTGTGTACACTGTGTAAGTGTGACACTGTGTGTGTGTGTACACTGTGTGTGTGTGTGTACACTGTGTGTGTGTACACTGTGTGTGTGTGTACACTGTGTGTGTGTGTACACTGTGTAAGTGTGACACTGTGTGTGTGTGACACTGTGTGTGTGTGTGTACACTGTGTAAGTGTGTACACTGTGTGTGTGACACTGTGTGTGTGACACTGTGTATGTGTGTGTGTACACTGTGTGTGTGTGTACACTGTGTAAGTGTGTATACTGTGTGTGTGACACTGTGTGTGTGTGTGTGACACTGTGTGTGTGTACACTGTGTGTGTGTGTACACTGTGTGTGTGTGACACTGTGTGTGTGTGTACACTGTGTGTAAGTGTGACACTGTGTATGTGTACAATGTGTGTGTGACACTGTGTATGTGTGTGTGGACACTGTGTATGTGTGTGTGTACACTGTGTGTGTGTACACTGTGTGTGTGTGACACTGTGTGTGTGTGTGTACACTGTGTGTGTGTGTGTACACTGTGTAAGTGTGTACACTGTGTGTGTGTGACACTGTGTGTGTGTGTACACTGTGTGTGTGTGTGTACACTGTGTGTGTACACTGTGTGTACACTGTGTGTGACACTGTGTGTCACTGTGTGTGTGTGTACACTGTGTGTGACACTGTGTGTACACTGTGTGTGTGTACACTGTGTGTGTGACACTGTGTGTGTGTACACTGTGTGTGTGTACACTGTGTGTGTGTGACACTGTGTGTGTGTACACTGTGTGTGTGTGACACTGTGTGTGTGTGACACTGTGTGTGTGTGTACACTGTGTGTGTGTGTACACTGTGTGTGTATGTACACTGTGTGTGTACACTGTGTGTGTGTACACTGTGTGTGTGTGACACTGTGTGTGTGTGTACACTGTGTGTGTGACACTGTGTGTGTGTGACACTGTGTGTGTACACTGTGTAAGTGTGACTGTGTGTGTGACACTGTGTGTCACTGTGTGTGTGTGACACTGTGTGTGTGTGTGACACTGTGTGTGTGTGTGACACTGTGTGTGTGTGACACTGTGTGTGTGTGTGTACACTGTGTGTGTGACACTGTGTGTATGTGTGTACACTGTGTGTGTGTACACTGTGTGTGTGACACTGTGTGTGTGTACACTGTGTGTGTGTGTGTACACTGTGTGTACACTGTGTGTGTACACTGTGTGTGTGTGTGTACACTGTGTGTGTGACACTGTGTGTATGTGTGTACACTGTGTGTGTGTACACTGTGTGTGTGACACTGTGTGTGTGTACACTGTGTGTGTGTGTGTACACTGTGTGTACACTGTGTGTGTACACTGTGTGTGTGTGTGTACACTGTGTGTACACTGTGTAAGTGTGTGACTGTGTGTGTGTGTGTGACACTGTGTGTGTGTGTGACCCCTACAGATCTACCCCCCTATCAACGTGCTTCCCTCTCTGTCGCGTCTCATGAAGTCCGCCATTGGGGCCGGGATGACTCGCAAAGACCACGCAGACGTCTCCAACCAGCTGGTGGAGACACAACAACAACAACAACAACCACCACAACCACTACCACCACAACCACAACCAGCACAACCACAACTAACACAACCATAACTAACACCTCCACCACCACAGCTACCACCACCATCACGTGATGACTCGCAAAGACCACGCAGACGTCTCCAACCAGCTGGTGGAGACACAACAACAACAACAACAACCACAACCACAACCACCACAACTACCACAACCACCACAACCACTACCACCACAACCACCACCACCACAACCAGCACAACCACCACAACCAACACAACCACTATCACCACCACAGCTACCACCACCTCCACCACCACAACAACCACCACAACCACTACCACAACCAGCACAACAACCACAACAACCACAACCACCACAACTACCACAACCACCACCGCAACAACCACCACAACCAACACCACAACCACCAACACAACCACAACTAACACAACCACAACCATAATTACCACCACAACCACCACAACAACCACAACCACCACAACAACCACAACTAACACAACAACCACAACCACCAACACAACCACAACTAACACAACCACAACCAACACAACAACCACCAACACAACCACAACTAACACAACCACAACTAACACAACCACAACCAACACAACAACCACCAACACAACCACAACTAACACAACCACAACTAACACAACCATAACCACAACCACCACCATCACCATAACTAACACCACTACCACCACCTCCACCAGTACAACTAACACCACCACCACCACAACCATAACTAACACCACAACTAACACCACCACCACAACCACCACCACCATCACTACCACAACCACCATCACCACCACATCACTACCATCATGACCACAACCACCACAACCATAACCACCACAACAACCACAACTAACACCACCATAACCACCACAACCACCACCACCACCACAACCACCACAACCAAAACTAACACAACCATAACCACAACCACCACCACAACCACCACAACCAACACCACCACAACCACCAGCACAACCACAACTAACACCACCATAACCACCATAACCACCACAACCAACACAACCAACACAACGAACACCACAACCACCACCACAACAACCACCACCACCATCACAACAACCACAACCACCACAACCGCCACAACCACCACCACAACTGCCACCACCACCACAACCACCACCACAACCACCACAACCACCACCACAACCACCACAACCACCACAACCACAACTAACACAACCATAACCACAACCACCACCACAACCACCACCATCACCACCACAACCACAACTAACACAACCACCACAACCACCACCACAACTAACACCACCACCATAACCACCACCATCACCACCACCATAACCACCACCCACACCACCCACACCATCACTACCACAACCACCACTACAACCACCACCACCACAACAACCACTACCACAACTACCACCACCACCACAACCATCACCACAACCACCCCAACCACCACCACAACCACAACTATCACCACCACAACCACCACCACAACCACCACAACCACCACCACAACCACCACAACCACCACCACCAGCACAACCACCACCACAACCACCACAACCACCAGCACCACAACCACCACAACCACCACAACCACCACAACCAGCACCCACACCACAACTAACACCACCACCATCATCGCAACCACCACCACAACAGCCACCACAGCTACCACCACCACAACCAACACCACGACCACAACCAACACCACAACCACACCACCACCACAACCACCACCAGCACAACCACCACAACCACCACCACAACTACCACCACCACAACCACCAGCACAACCACCAGCACAACCACCACAACCACCACTACCACAACCACACCACAACCACACCACAACCAACACCACCAGCACAACCACCACAACCACCACAACCACCACCACAACCACCACCCACACCACAACAACTAACACCACCACCATCATCACAACCACCACCACAACCACCACCACAACCAACACCACCACCACAACCAACACCACCACCACAACCAACACCACAACCACCACCACCACCACCACAACCAACACCACCACCACAACCACCACAACCACCACAACAACCACCACAACCACCATCACCACCACCATAACCACCACCCATACCACCCACACCATCACTACCACAACCACCACAACCACCACCACCACAACTAACACGACCACCATAACCACCACTATAACCACCACCACAACCACCACCACAACCACCACCACAACCACCACCACAACTAACACCACCACCACCATAACCACCACCACAACCACCACCACAACCACTTAACCACAACCATCATCACCACCACCATCATCACCATCACCACAACAGCCACCACCACAACCATCACAACACAACCACCACCACAACCATCATCACCATCACCACAACCATCATCATCACCACCACAACCACCACAACCATCACCACCACAACCATCATCACCATCACCACAACCACTACCACAACCATCACCACGACCACCACAACCATCATCACCATCACCACCACTACAACCACTACCACACCATCACCACGACCACAACCACCACAACCATCACCACCACAACCATCACCACCACCACAACCATCATCACCATCACCACCACAGCCACCACCACAACCATCACCACAACCACCACCACAACCATCATCACCATCACCACAACCATCATCATCACCACCACAACCACCACAACCATCACCACCACAACCATCATCACCACAACCACTACCACAAGCATCACCACAACCACGAACACCACAACCATCATCACCACCACTACAACCACTACCACACCATCACCACAACCACGACCACCACCACAACCATCACCACCACAACCATCATCACCACCCACACCACCACATCCGTGTCTCTCTGTCTCACTCCGTGTCTATGTGTCTCTGTGTGTGTGTCTGTGTCTCTGTGTGTCTCTGTGTGTGTCTCTATTTGTTTCTCTGTGTGTGTGTCTCTCTGTGTGTGTCTCTGTGTCTCTCCCTGTGTGTGTGTCTGTGTGTGTGTGTCTGTGTGTCTGTGTGTGTCTCTGTGTGTCTCTGTGTGTCTCTGTGTCTGTGTGTGTGTGTCTCTGTATGTGTGTCTCTGTGTGTGTCTATGTGTGTGTCTCTGTGTGTATCTCTGTGTCTGTCTCTGTGTGTGTCTTTGTATGTGTGTGTCTCTGTGTGTGTGTGTGTGTCTGTGTGTGTGTCTCTGTGTGTGTGTGTCTCTCTGTCTCTGCGTGTCTGTGTATGTGTGTGTCTGTGTGTTTGTGTCTGTGTGTGTGTGTGTCTGTGTGTGTCTGTGTGTGTGTGTGTCTGTGTGTGTGTGTGTCTGTGTGTGTGTCACTGCGTGTGTGTGTCTGTGTGTGTGTATCTGTGTGTGTGTGTATGTGTGTGTGTCTGTGTGTGTCTGTGTGTCTCTGTGTGTGTGTGTCTGTGTGTGTGTCTGTGTGTGTGTCTCAGTATGCGTGCTACGCTATCGGCAAGGATGTGCTGGCCATGAAGGCCGTTGTGGGAGAGGAGGCGCTCACTCCGGACGATCTCCTCTATCTGGAGTTCCTGCAGAAGTTCGAGAGGAATTTCATCGCACAGGGTGAGTCGGAGACTCGCTCACCACTCACTCACCACTCGCTCACCACTCACTCAACACTCACTCGCTCATGACTCACTCACCACTCACTCACCACCACTCGCTCACCACTCACTCACCACTCACTCACTCACTCACCACTCACTCACCACTCACTCACTCATACACTCACCACTCACTCACCACTCGCTCACCACCACTCACTCACCACTCCCTCACCACTCACTCGCTCACTCACCACTCACTCACCACCACTCGTTCACCACCACTCGCTCACCACTCACTCACCACCCGCTCACTCGCTCACTCGCTCACTACCACTCACCACTCGCTCACTCACCACTCGCTCACCACTCGCTCACTCACCACCACTCACTCACCACTCACTCACCACTCGCTCGCTCACCACCACTCCCTCACCACTCACTCACTCACCACTCCCTCACCACTCACTCGCTCACCATCACTCCCTCACCACTCACTCACTTACCACTCACTCACCACTCACTCACTCACTCTCTCACTCGCTCACCACTCGCTCACTCACCACTCACTCACTCATACACTCACTCATACACTCACTCATACACTCACTCACCACTCACTCACCACTCACTCACTCACTCATACACTCACTCACCACTCACTCCCTCACCACTCCTCACTCGCTCACCACTCACTCGCTCACGACTCACTCACCAATCGCTCACCACTCACTCGCTCACCATTCCTCACTCACTCACCACTCACTCACCACTCCCCTACAGCCCTGCTAGAGGCTAGCTGGGGGAGCTTTGTCTGTGTCTCAGCACTTGCCCCTACAGCCCTGCTAGAGGCTAGCTGGGGGCGCTTTGTCTGTGTCTCAGCACTTGCCCCTACAGCCCTGCTAGAGGCTAGCTGGGGGAGCTTTGTCTGTGTCTCAGCACTTGCCCCTACAGCCCTGCCAGAGGCTACCTGGGGGAGCTTTGTCTGTGTCTCAGCACTTGCCCCTACAGCCCTGCCAGAGGCTACCTGGGGGAGCTTTGTCTGTGTCTCAGCACTTGCCCCTACAGCCCTGCTAGAGGCTACCTGGGGGAGCTTTGTCTGTGTCTCAGCATTTGCACCTACAGCCCTGCTAGAGGCTACCTGGGGGAGCTTTGTCTTTTGTGGTGGTGATGATGATGGTGATGATGATGGTGATGATGATGACGGTGATGTTGGTGACGATGATGATGATGGTGACGATGATGATAACGGTGATGATGACGATGATGATGATCATGGTGATGACGATGATGAGGATGATGATGATGGTGATGACGATGATGATGACGGTGATGACGACGACGATGATGATGACGGTGATGATGATGACGATGATGATGATGGTGACGATGATGCTGACGGTGATGGTGATGATGATCATGGTGATGATGATGATTATGATGAGGATGACGATGATGATGGTGATGGTGATGACGATGATGATGACGATGATGATGATGGTGACGATGATGATGACGGTGACGGTGATGATGATCATGGTGACGATGATGATGATGATGCTGACGGTGACGATGATGATCATGGTGACGATGATGATGACGGTGACGATGACAGTGACGATGATGACGATGACGGTGATGACGATGATGATCACGGTGACGGTGATGATGGTGGTGACGGTGATGATGGTGATAACGATGGTGATGATGGTGATAACGATGATGATGATGATCACGGTGATGACGATCACGGTGACGGTGATGATAACACCTCTCCCCCAGGTGCCTACGACAACCGCACCATCTTCGAGTCGCTCGACATCGGCTGGCAGCTGCTGAGAATCTTCCCCAAGGAGATGCTCAAAAGGATCCCGCAGAGCGTCCTCGCTGAGTTCTATCCACGGGAGGCGCCCAGCCAGCAGACAGCCGCTCGCTAACTCACCAACTCACTCACTCACTCACCAACTCACTCACCAACTCACTCACCATCTCACTCACTCACCAACTCACTCACCAACTCACTCACTCACTCACCAACTCACTCACTCACTCACCAGCTCACTCACTCACTCACCATCTCACTCACTCACCAACTCACTCACTCACCAACTCACTCACCAACTCACCAACTCACTCACCAACTCACTCACCATCTCACTCACTCACTCACCAACTCACTCACCAACTCACTCACCAACTCACTCACTCACTCACCAACTCACTCACCAACTCACTCACTCACTCACCAACCCACTCACCAACTCACTCACCAGCTCACTCACTCACTCACCAACTCACTCACTCACTCACCATCTCACTCACTCACCAACTCACTCACCAACTCACTCACTCACCAACTCACTCACCAACTCACTCACTCACTCACCAACTCACTCACTCACTCACCAGCTCACTCACTCACTCACCATCTCACTCACTCACCAACTCACTCACTCACCAACTCACTCACCAACTCACCAACTCACTCACCAACTCACTCACCATCTCACTCACTCACTCACCAACTCACTCACCAACTCACTCACCAGCTCACTCACTCACTCACCAACTCACTCACTCACTCACCATCTCACTCACTCACCAACTCACTCACCAACTCACTCACTCACCAACTCACTCACCAACTCACTCACTCACTCACCAACTCACTCACTCACTCACCAGCTCACTCACTCACTCACCATCTCACTCACTCACCAACTCACTCACTCACCAACTCACTCACCAACTCACTCACCAACTCACTCACCATCTCACTAACCAGCTCACCAACTCACTCACCAACTCACTCACTCACTCACCAACTCACTCACCAGCACACTCACTCACTCACCATCTCACTCACTCACCAACTCACTCACCAACTCACTCACCAACTCACTCACTCACTCACCAACTCACTCACCAACTCACTCACTCACCAACCCACTCACCAACTCACTCACCAACTCACTCACTCACCAGCACACTCACTCACTCACTCACCAACTCACTCACCAACTCACTCACCAACTCACTCACCAACTCACTCACTCACTCACCAACTCACTCACCAACTCACTCACTCACTCACCAACTCACTCACCAACTCACTCACCAACTCACTCACTCACTCACCAACTCACTCACCAGCACACCCACTAACTCACTCACCAACTCACTCACTAACTCACTCACCAACTCACTCACTCACTCGCTAACTCACTCACCAACTCACTCACCAGCTCACTCACCCTCGCTGAGTTCTACCCACGGGAGGCGCCCAGCCAGCAGACAGCCACTCGCTAACTCACCAACTCACTCACTCACTCACCAACTCACTCACTCACTCACCAACTCACTCACCAACTCACTCACTCACTCACCATCTCACTCACCAACTCACTCACTCACCATCTCACTCACCAGCACACTCACTCACTCACCATCTCACTCACCAACTCACTCACCAACTCACTCACTCACCAACTCACCAACTCACTCACCAGCACACTCACTCACTCACCATCTCACTCACCAACTCACTCACCAGCACACTCACTCACTCACCAACTCACTCACCAACTCACTCACCAACTCACTCACCAGCACACTCACTCACTCACCATCTCACTCACCAACTCACTCACCAACTCACTCACTCACCAACTCACCAACTCACTCACCAGCACACTCACTCACTCACCATCTCACTCACCAACTCACTCACCAGCACACTCACTCACTCACCAACTCACTCACCAACTCACTCACCAACTCACTCACCAGCACACTCACTCACTCACCAACTCACTCACCAACTCACTCACCAACTCACTCACCAACTCGCTCACTAACTCACTCACCAACTCACTCACTCAATCACCAACTCACTCACTCACTCACCAACCCACTCACCAACTCACTCACCAGCACACTCACTCACTCACCAACTCACTCACCAACTCACTCACCAACTCACTCACCAACTCGCTCACTAACTCACTCACCAACTCACTCAATCACCAACTCACTCACTCACTCACCAACTCACTCACTCACCAACTCACTCACTCACCAGCTCACTCACCAACTCACTCACCAGCTCACTCACCAACTCACTCACTCAATCACCAACTCACTCACTCACCAACTCACTCACTCACCAGCTCACTCACCAACTCACTCACTCACCAACTCGCTAACTCACTCACCAACTCACTCACCAGCTCACTCACCAACTCACCACCACAACCATCACCACCACAATAACCACCACAACAACCACCACCACCACTACCACCACAACAACCACCACCACCACAACAACCACCACTCCGGTGTTGTCCACCCTCTCTGACCGTGCAGCTGTTGCCGTAGTCACTGTTGTAGCTCCTCCCCCCCCCTCCCTCCTCCCCTCTCGCTACATTCCTCGTTGTCCGTGCTTGCAATTCCCTCGTGATTTGAACGTCTGTGTGTGTGTGTGTCTGTGTGTGTGTGTGTCTGTGTGTGTCTCTGTGTGTGTGTGTGTGTCTGTGTGTGTGTGTCTGTGTGTGTGTCTGTGTGTGTGTCTGTGTGTGTGTCTGTGTGTCTGTGTGTGTGTCTGTGTGTGAGAGTGTGTGTGAGTGTATGTCTGTGTGAGTGTATGTCTGTGTGTGTGTGTGTCTGTGTGTGTGTCTGTGTGTGTCTCTGTGTGTGTGTGTGTGTGTCTGTGTGTCTGTGTGTGTGTGTGTGTCTCTGTGTGTCTCTGTGTGTCTCTGTGTGTCTCTGTATGTGTCTCTGTGTGTGTGTCTGTGTGTGTGTCTGTGTGTGTGTCTGTGTGTGTGTGTGTCTCTGTGTGTGTCTCTGTGTGTGTCTCTCTGTGTGTGTCTCTGTGTGTGTGTCTCTGTGTGTGTCTCTCTGTGTGTGTGTGTGTCTGTGTGTGTGTGTGTCTGTGTGTCTCTGTGTGTCTGTGTGTCTCTGTGTCTCGTGGAGTCGATTTATCTCCCTTGCCCTCCCCCTGCCCATCATCATCACCATCATCATCGTCGTCGTCGTCATCATCACGAGGAGGATGCTGACGCTACTGATGCTGCCATTCGTGTTTGCTGTTCGTGTTCGTGCTGTGATCTCGAAGATTTAATAAAATATATGTTGATGTCTCGTGGATTTGTCTCCTGGCGTTCACGTCAGCCCTGGGGTCAGGGTTCAAGCCCTGGGTCTGGGTGTCTCTCAGGGGGTTCACAGTGGCCGTGTGGGAGACGCTGAGACCCTGGGGTCAGGGTTCAAGCCCTGGGTCTGGGTGTCTCTCTCTCTCAGGGGGTTCACAGTGGCCGTGTGGGAGACACTGAGACCCTGGGGTCAGGGTTCAAGCCCTGGGTCTGGGTGTCTCAGGGGGGTCACAGTGGCCGTGTGGGAGACGCTGAGAGCCTGGGGTCAGGGTTCAAGCCCTGGGTCTGGGTGTCTCAGGGGGTTCACAGTGGCCGTGTGGGAGACGCTGAGACCCTGGGGTCAGGGTTCAAGCCCTGGGTCTGGGTGTCTCTATCTCAGGGGGTTCACAGTGGCCGTGTGGGAGACGCTGAGACCCTGGGGTCAGGGTTCAAGCCCTGGGTCTGGGTGTCTCTCAAGGGGTTCACAGTGGCCGTGTGGGAGACGCTGAGACCTTGGGTTCAGGGTTCAAGCCCTGGGTCTGGGTGTCTCTCTCTCTCAGGTGGTTCACAGTGGCCGTGTGGGAGACGCTGAGACCCTTGGGGTCAGGGTTGAAGCCCTGGGTCTAGGTCTCTCTCTCAGGGGGTTCACAGTGGCCGTGTGGGAGACGCTGAGACCCTGGGGTCAGGGTTCAAGCCCTGGGTCTGGGTGTCTCTCTCTCAGGGGGTACACGGTGGCTGTGTGGGAGACGCTGAGACCCTGGGGTCAGGGTTCAAGCCCTGGGTCTGGGTGTCTCTCTCTCTCTCAGGGGGTTCACGGTGGCTGTGTGGGAGACGCTGAGACCCTGGGTTCAGGGTTCAAGCCCTGGGTCTGGGTGTCTCTCAGGGGGTTCACAGTGGCCGTGTGGGAGACGCTGAGACCCTGGGGTCAGGGTTCAAGCCCTGGGTCTGGGTGTCTCTATCTCAGGGGGTTCACAGTGGCCGTGTGGGAGACGCTGAGACCCTGGGGTCAGGGTTCAAGCCCTGGGTCTGGGTGTCTCTATCTCAGGGGGTTCACAGTGGCCGTGTGGGAGACGCTGAGACCCTGGGGTCAGGGTTCAAGCCCTGGGTCTGGGTGTCTCTCATGGGGTTCACAGTGGCCGTGTGGGAGACGCTGAGACCTTGGGTTCAGGGTTCAAGCCCTGGGTCTGGGTGTCTCTCTCTCTCAGGTGGTTCACAGTGGCCGTGTGGGAGACGCTGAGACCCTTGGGGTCAGGGTTGAAGCCCTGGGTCTAGGTCTCTCTCTCAGGGGGTTCACAGTGGCCGTGTGGGAGACGCTGAGACCCTGGGGTCAGGGTTCAAGCCCTGGGTCTGGGTGTCTCTCTCTCAGGGGGTACACGGTGGCTGTGTGGGAGACGCTGAGACCCTGGGGTCAGGGTTCAAGCCCTGGGTCTGGGTGTCTCTCTCTCTCTCAGGGGGTTCACGGTGGCTGTGTGGGAGACGCTGAGACCCTGGGTTCAGGGTTCAAGCCCTGGGTCTGGGTGTCTCTCAGGGGGTTCACAGTGGCCGTGTGGGAGACGCTGAGACCCTGGGGTCAGGGTTCAAGCCCTGGGTCTGGGTGTCTCTATCTCAGGGGGTTCACAGTGGCCGTGTGGGAGACGCTGAGACCCTGGGGTCAGGGTTCAAGCCCTGGGTCTGGGTGTCTCTCAGGGGGTTCACAGTGGCCGTGTGAGAGACGCTGAGACCTTGGGTTCAGGGTTCAAGCCCTGGGTCTGGGTGTCTCTCTCTCAGGGGGTTCATGGTGGCTGTGTGAGAGACACTGAGACCCTGGGGTCAGGGTTGAAGCCCTGGGTCTGGGTCTCTCTCTCAGGGGGTTCACAGTGACCGTGTGGGAGACACTGAGACCCTGGGGTCAGGGTTCAAGCCCTGGGTCTGGGTGTCTCT